TGGGTCTGTGTGTTTTTACCGTGTCAGTTCTTTGGTCTTCGTGGGAGGTGGGGCTTGGGCGAGCCATACCCCCGAATCATACCCCGAACCATACCCCCGAGCCATACCCCGAGTCATACCCCCTAAAAAAGAAAAAACACTTGCAAGAACTGTGGCATTTGCATGTGATCCATGGATAGCTGGAAGCTATAGGGGGTTTAACTTCAAGTGAAGAAGGGGTCTTGTCAAGAAACAGTGTTAGAGAGCTTGACATGTGGACCGATGCCATGGGGTAGGGACTCCGTGGTAATACCTGGTTCACTTGTGGTTCCTGGATCTATTCTTGAGTCTGCGATGCTTGCATGGTTGGGCATGTCATGGGGCCAAGTACATTTGACATGTCCACTCACACACTCACTGGTTACTCGTGGGGGGCCATTTTGGCTCAAGTGGTGTTCCTTGACACTCGGTTACCCACCTCGGTCTGGGCTTGCTATTTTCAATGGAAAGTGCCGATGAATGGAGTTATAGAGCAATCCTGCGGATGTCCTGGTACTAGAGTTGTCTGTAGCATCCGTGGCGCTGTGGCGGGGGGGTGCAGCTTGACGTAAGAAGCTGGGACTTGCAGGGCGCTGTGGCGGGGGGTGCCGCTGCTGAGCTTGAAACTTGGAGCTTGCTTCCTGCAGTCTCCGACGCGGTGGAAACAGCTGTCTGTCCTGGGCCACGGTCGCAGTGAAACACAAGCTGTCTTTGTGCTCCTGGGGTACTCTTGGTGTCTTTCCGGTCGAAAGAAATCTGTCCCCCGATTCATACCCCCGATTCATACCGGATTCATACCCCGATTCATACCCTTCTGCTGCCATTTGCAGCCAAGAGCCTCTTGTGCTCTGGGCAGTACTAGCGAAGCTATGCCGCCCAAATCCTCAGAAGACACAAAACTCAAAGAGAAGCACTTTTCGCACAAGTTCGCCAGAAGGTGGGCTCGGAAGGCTTACTGCGATGTATCAAGCGCGACACGGTACACCACCTGTGAGAGGCCCACTAGCCTCTGCGCGGCTGCCGTTTGAGGATGTCACGCTGTCTTGCCCTTACGCTGGTTCGCGGGTGGCGGCCTTGACTGGGCGCTTCCCCTTAAGCAACGCTTTGCTTGGGTCTGTGAGCGCGCGCGGAACTCCAAGTGGAGGTGGCCATGACGTTCGCCTCAGGCAGTGGCTCTGCGCCTTCCACCTGGCGCAGCAGCTTTCGCTAACCCACTCACGCAGAGTGGCAGCTGTCTAGTTCAGGCCACTCACAAGCGCCCCAGGCTGGCTTGTAGCAACTAAGCGGTCCAAATTCTCACGGCTATCCGGTTGCCAGCGCACGGGAGCTTTGCAGTGGCCAAAGCCACAAAAGCAAGAGTTCAGAGGCGCGCGAGCCATACCCCGAATCATACCCCCGAGCCATACCCCGAACCATACCTGCGATTCATACCCCTTATACCAACCTCCCGGCACGGCCACGTCAAAAAAACACATACCCATATATGTAATGTATGTATGTATGTATGTATGTATGTATGTATGTATGTATGTACTGTACTGTACTGTACTGTACTGTACTGTACTGTACTGTACTGTACTGTACTGTACTGTATGTATGTAATGTATGTATGTATGTATGTATGTATGTATGTATGTATGTATGTATGTATGTATGTATGTATGTATGTATGTATGTATGTATGTATGTATGTATGTATGTATGTATGTATGTATGTATGTATGTATGTATGTATGTATGTATGTATGTATGTATGTATGTATGTATGTATGTATGTATGTATGTATGTATGTATGTATGTATGTATGTATGTATGTATGTATGTATGTATGTATGTATGTATGTATGTATGTATGTATGTATGTATGTATGTATGTATGTATGTATGTATGTATGTATGTATGTATGTATGTATGTATGTATGTATGTATGTATGTATGTATGTATGTATGTATGTATGTATGTATGTATGTATGTATGTATGTATGTATGTATGTATGTATGTATGTATGTATGTATGTATGTATGTATGTATGTATGTATGTATGTATGTATGTATGTATGTATGTATGTATGTATGTAATGTATGTATGTATGTATGTATGTATGTATGTATGTATGTATGTATGTATGTATGTATGTATGTATGTATGTATGTATGTATGTATGTATGTATGTATGTATGTATGTATGTATGTATGTATGTATGTATGTATGTATGTATGTATGTATGTATGTATGTATGTATGTATGTATGTATGTATGTATGTATGTATGTATGTATGTATGTATGTATGTATGTATGTATGTCATGTCTGTTTTTTTTGTTCGCTTGTTTTTTTTTGTTTGTTTGTTTTCTTCGATATGATGTATGCTTGATTTGCTTTGTCTTGGAACAGTATCAGAACCCGAGATCCTTGTTTTTCTCGACCTTGCGGCCCTGTTGGTTCCCCACATTTCGACCTCGTGGCGCCGGCGCCAGGTGTCCGAACTCTTGGATTTGGAGTGAGGCGGTTGTGATGCCTTTGCAGAAGGCCAAAGCAGCGGAAAAGTTGCGAGACCGGATGTGACCAACCTGGGTTTAACAGGTCTTGGCCTCCTTGTGGTCATCCTATGTCTGGGTCTCGTTTTTTTTGGGAGCCCCAGTTTTTGTTGCACAGCTTATGGCACTCAAGTGAATGGAAGTGAGATTTGAGACTGGAATGCCATGGCCTGAAGGCTTCCGTTCTTTGTACTTAGCCCGAACATTGTGACTCAAAAGTCGGTTCTTGCCTGCAGTTTGCTTATGGGGAACCTCCTGACGCGGAGAAATCATGTGAGGGGGTGGGTGTGAGTCCGACTTAGGTCGCCAATGGGATAAACTAGACCAGAACCAACTAATTGAAGGGTGAGGTTCTTTGTTTGCTCTTGAGAGGGTTCCACCACGGTTGCTATTCAGCAAGCCTTTCTGAGTCAGGGGACTTGTTCAGCATAAGTGGGCTTTCCTCATTGCTACCACCCGCTCATCATTTACCCTGCCCCTTGGTGGCTGGCTAAATGGGTGGGCAGGGTTCCCCATGGCTTCCCCTTGTGGTTTGCAACATCAACTAAAAGTGAGCTTTCTTTTAGTGGGGCGATGCTAGGGGAAAAAATATATGGAACCCCCAGGGCGGGTCGCAACCTCTTGGTTTGCTGGAAACGAGGGAGTTGTTTCCCCTCTTCTGTGACACCAGGGAGCCTGCCCATGTGAATTGTTCCACAGCGCATGAGGGAATCTCACTGCAGGGAAAATTATCCGTCTACTGGTCCATCAACTAGAGAAAATACTTGTGTGTTTTTAAGGCCTGGATTTCCGGATTTCCCTTTTGGTTTGAAAAGGACGTCTTCTTTGGAGCACCAGCACATGGAAAGAAAACCAGTTCTCATCTTCAACCATGCGAATCATTCAGAGACTCGTACTGGGGCACTGATTCTTGAACAATAGGTTGGTCCTAATTTTCTAAACAGTTTGATCCATGATCTCAAGGAGTCTAACTCTTATGCTGGAAGCTGCTGTCCTGCGGCTTGAAACCAGCTCATAGAACCTCATGGCGTGTGTCAGGCTTGCATGAACGCCACGTGACCCCCCAGCGCCAACAGAGGTGGCCGCAGAGGGTGTCACAGCGAGCTGCATGCAACTCGCTGGTCTATGTAACCCATTCGAAGAACGGAACTTGATCGTATGGAGCAGTAGGCCTCAATTTGGAGCAACTGCGGAGATTGCATTTGGCGTTGGTTCCTTGAATGTCAGGCCCGTTTGGCTGCTCTCAGAACTACACACGCTTATGCAAGGCTTGAAAGAGGGGCTTATCCCAGGACAGAACATCTGCCAAGGCTCATCCACAAGCTGCGCAGCTGTTGGCTTGAAAGCATCAGAGCAGCCAATGCCGCTGATGGTTTTTCGGCCCACTCGCCCACTGTTGAACCAACAAAAGCTGCAGAGTAAGACTACAACAACATGAAAGGTTTGACTCAGCTGACCGGCTGTTGAACTAGCAAGAGCTGCAAAGTGAGACTGCAACAGACACCTGCTCCTTGTGTATGTTGACAGCCCAGCGCAAGGCACAAGTGGTCTTCACAACAGAAGCGCGACATGGATATCAGTTCTGAAAGATAGCTGGCTGGATGAGAATATCATGGCTCCGTTGAACTCATGACGGCTGTTGCCTCGGAGTGCGCGGGTGTGTGCTTGCATTTTGCCCCTCGCAACTCGCATCTCGCATCATTTCGGCATGCCCAATGTCGGCTTCATTGAGGCAGTTCGCGGCACGACTTAGAATTGTTCCATGTTGCATCACGGAAGCGCGGCGACTGAATGCTCCAGTTTGCCATGTCTCAATAGTCAAACTAACAAATTCCGGACTTTCAAAGTATTTCTCAAAGAATGGAACGCTAAGTGCCCAATATGCTTGTTCCTCTCAAGGAAGCTGCAAGATGGATCCATGTTCATTTTTCCCGGCTGCTCATTTACACGAATCCCTTGACTTCCGTTTGGTGCACCGTTTTTTGGGCCTGCCAAGGGGGGGAACCCGAAAGGGGGGGATCTTGTTTGAGTGTTCGGATCACTGAACACGTGCTCCAATACATTTTCCACCTTTCGGGCCACTGGTTGCGACTGGGACCTTAGGCACACGTAAACCTTGTCCAGGAGAGGCTGCATGCTGGAGTCTTTCAATTGGATGTCCAAACATAGGTGACCCTTTTTGGAGGGACGTTAAGATTTAAAGCGCGATCAAGGAATGTGGAAGTGTCTTGTAGGAGTCCGGGGGCAACCAAGAGTAAGCCTGCCATCTTTGGGTGAATGAATTGGACGCCGAAGGGAGGCAAGCAATACCGAACAGCCCATGAGTTTGACGGTCAGGGCCTTTTTGCTTGCAACCTACCAATGGGGTGACTTGAGAGTGGCAAAATAATACAGCCAGGAACTGAGGCCTTGTAAGTATACCTTGTGCATAATATATGGCGAGCTCACCCGGGGGTAAAACGATGGCAACCATCCTTTGCTTGGGGATCCCTTAGTTCAGCTTTTGAAAGTATAGTACACTTCGAAGTGATACCTTGTCTTGAGGATTTTGTGTTCTTAATTTTATGTGCAAGTGAGTTGTTTGAAGACACCCAGGCACCCAGCCAGCATTCTCAACGCACGGCGCTTACGCTCGTTCTCCGCGTTGGTTCAAGTGGCAGGATCAAGTTCCGCCGTGTCACCGGGTTTCCGCAAGAGGATCTGTGCACAGGTGTCAGGCTCTCGGCCAGCGTGGCTTTGCGCATTGCGGCATGCCCTGTTGTTCATACCAACCGATACACGTCGCCCCGAGCCTCAGCCTGCGAACATTCGACCAAAACCAGCTCCCAGCCACAGTCAGCACGGCTCCGAAGCTCACCCTTCCGACGCAAGACCACTGCCCCCAGAACCGTCCGGACCGAGTCACCGGGTCTCTCTCGAGCCTGGGCTCAGCAGCCGGATGAATGGCGCCTCCGAGCAGTCGAGCCCGGGGTTCTTGAACCTGCCGGGCGTGAAGACTACCAAGCCGGAGCTGCTGGAAAACAAGTTCGCCCCTTGACCAAGTGCCTCGGGGAACTGGCGAAAAGTCGTAAAAAACGAAGGGTAGATGAGATAGGTGTCTGTGTGTGTGTGTGTGTAGACGCCCCCCGGTGTCCGGGTCCAAACGTACCTGCAGGGCTGCGCCTGGGCCATTGTCATGGCAGCTGGCGGGCCCACCCCAAACAAAGGTCCCCTTTTTGCCCTTTTCTCCAAAACCAGCTGAACCCCAGCTGTACTCGAGACTCACCAGTTGTACTCGAACGATGAGAGACTTATCAGTTGTACTCGAGACTCATCAGTTGTACTCGAGACTCATCAGTTGTACTCGAAAGATTAGCACCCTCCATCTGGAGTTCAAGTGTGTGTGTGTGTGTGTTTCTTGTTTTTTAGTGAGACTTGAAGGGAAATGTCTGGAAGTGGAGTTGCTTGTCGCCGGCTGGAAGAGATAGCTAGCCAAGGACTGTCACGTGAAATGCAAGCCCACTAATTAGAACTGTTTGCTTCCCAAAAAACACAGGCACACGCAAAATGCTCGTTCTTCGATGTGTTTTGCGCAAAAGGGGGGGTCGACGGTCCAATGCCATTGCAGTACTGAGCCAAGAACTACAGCATTGAGTGAGCAGAGGGGATATTGGGACGAGCGCAACGCGAGAAAAAGACAGTGCGGAGTGCAAGAAGCCACGAGAAAACCTGGGGTAATCAGCTGCACTGGGACCAAGCCATAATTCGAATGCCAATTCCTGGGATGTGAGTCCTTGCTGATCCGGCCTGTTACACCACAAGTTTGGTTGCGCCGGGGTGCATGGGGTTTTTCTACACGACTGATTGGTGGCTGCTCCCACCTTTGTTTTGGGAGTTGTTTCCTGGACCTTGACATGGAACCAAAGCACAGCAGTAGAAGGATCCCCTGATATGTATATATATATATATATTTGTTATGGACTTTGGACACCCCTTGGGTGAGTAGTGGGCGCTGCATTTGGTATCCAAATGCCAAGTCTGTTCGCAATTTACGAGGCATAGCCTGCGCCTTGCGAGTGATACGTATGTCAACAAACTCACCAAGGGAGCTATCAAAGGAAATGGCTGGCTGCCCATCCCATTCGAGGGGTAGGACCCATACTCACACAGCTATGGCATGAAGATACACCACTTTTTCCAGTTTGTGAGAGGTGCGTCCGCTCCTCGATTTCAGCGATCAGTGTACCTGAAGCTGTTTGCGCCTTGGTCCTCCATTTCGGCGACCTAGGAACCCCCAAGGACCCTAAGGAACCCCAAGCCTCCGTTCGCCTCGCCCGAGGAGAGCTTGGTGGAACCCGTATGGGAGGAGACGTCGCAGGAATTCCAGCTCTTGGTGAGCAAGTTGGTCCACCAACACGTGAAGGAGGCGCAAAACCGGCAGAGAGTTGCTTCAGCCAGCGGGTGGGCGTGGGATTCACTCGATTTCGTACACCAACTGCTGGGAGTCTGGGGCCGCAACTTCTCCCATGGTCTTTGGGGGAACAGCAAATTCTGACCATGGCTCACACGTGGTTTTGCGTTGTTGGTTTGTGTGTTTGGGGCAGGGTTCCTTCATAACCCCAGAAAAAAAAGGAAGACACCACATGCCAAATTGTGGAGGAATGTATTGGAGAAGGGGACCCCCTTTGCGGATTGTTTTCCCAAGCCGGGCAGCACCTGTTCGTTACTGCCAAGAATGGAACCAGGCCTGACCTTCAACAGGTCGCCACTGTAGCTGCAGATTACACAACCCAATGGTAGTTATAAAGTTTCTGTCGCGCCTCGGGATTAGGCATTTCCCCACTTGTGCTTTGGGTCGCTTGTTCCTGGGTATGTCAGCCTTTGAAACCAGAAGCTCGAAGAGGGCTGCTGGTTTGAGACGCTTTCTACACCCCCCTCTGCTCCAAATAATGTTGACCTACGATGAGTAAACTGACCTTACATAAGGCTAGGTTTCTCGAAACGATGAATGAGCTGCCCTACATTCAGCTAAATGTTGTTTCATTCAAAAAACATCTGGTTAAAAAAAACAACAAATAAAAACAACAGCAAACAGAAATAAGCAACACCATATATTGCAACAAACACACTATGAAACAACTATAGCTGCCCCCAGGTGTTTGACTGAAATCCAAATTCCTCAGCTGACATGTGTTTGTTTCACGGGCAAGGTGTCCATTCATTAGGGCTCAGCGGCTCAGCATGTTCTGGATTCCATTCTCCCTGCAGATCCCCAAAGCTCGTGGGCCGCCTCTTTGGCTAAGTGACTTTTTTACAATCCTTCAAACAGTCACCCCCTGACCTTGGCAACAAGACTACCCATGAAGCCTCATGCACAAAATACAGTAAATGCCAGACCCTAAATAAGGTTAAGCTGATTTCCAGTGATCCCGAAAAGAACAAACACACAAAACATGCCCGATACTAATTTCGGTACTGGCCCAATACTGAATCATCACTCAACAACAAAAGCCCCTCCCCCCCCCACCGCCAAAAAAAATGAAGATACCATGCTCAATACCAATTGTGTATTGCCCCAGTACTACGTCAGTTATAGTTATTCACTCAAAAGAGCCCAATCCTTGCGCAATTCTAAACAGGTCCCAACCCTGAAATTGCTCCCCCTGCACTTTTTTGAGGGCAATCGGGGTGTGTGGGGGGGCCCTATGATTAATCATAGATCAGCATCCACATAGATTTTTGAGAAGCCTGGTTTCCCTGGCACAAGGGTTGACAGCGACCTCTTCGGGTCCCCACATGCTGAACCCAGCTGTGAGACCAGTTCCAAAGCGCCTGGAGTCATGACAGGATCCCTTTCTCTTGTGGAATGACCCCTGTTTACAGGGTCAGAAGGCGACTCCAGGTGGGTATTTAAAGCAAAAATAATGACAGCAGTTTACAGGATCAGGCGACTCCAGGCGAGTATTTAAAAAAGGAAAATCGGTTCGCAAGTTTCACGTTGGGTGCGGAGCGCTAGGTGTCTCTCCTTGAGAAGCAGAAGGCTTCGCTCAAGGTGAGCATCGGCGAGATGGAGGGTGAGCTGCAACTCGCATACGGCATACAGCAAAAACATGGGGGTAACCGGCCACGAGATGACGCGGAAGTTCAATTCGGATTTTCCCGAAAACAAGCAAAAATAAGAAGGTAGTTATGTAGCCGCAGAAAGTTATAGCCTGATTTGTTCAATATCCCTTTGTAGATGATGTGAAGGGGTCTGAAAGACTTCGGAGGGGGGTTGGCCACCCCCGGCAGAACACGTGAAGTGTGCCCGGACGGCGTCGCACTTTCAACTTCGGAGATTCTTTTTTGCCGCTTCGGCTCAGCCCTGCTGGCCAGCGCTCAACGCGCAAAGTTATCGAGAGGTTGCCTAGAGAACGTAAAGGTAAATGTCACTTTTTGTGCCACAAGCCGCAATGTAAACCACAGGGTTTTCCCGTGTATGGTCAGCTTGCAACATTTGAGTCACAATCAAACCCGGGTAATTGGAGGGTAGCAAGGGACAATCCCAGCCCTAAGTGGGTGCGGCCGCCTTGGTATTTTCTTGCATGGTTCTGGGGGACCATTTTGATACTGGGTTTTGATGTTGACTCATTTGGGGCTTCAAGTATAGTTTCAGGTGCCTGGAGCTCTGGGGCGGATTTTTGGCGACCATCACCGCTGTTCCGTTTGCCGATGGTTTCTGAAACATTTCCAGTGGTGCATCGCTCCTTTTTTCCATGTTTGTTTGCGGGGCCCCTTGTACAGGCTCTTTCTTCTTTTGGTTTCCTTTCTCAATCTTCCGAAAGGGTTTCCATTGTTGACGAAACCCGCCCAGGTCCTGTCTCAAATCCGCGGCTTGCCAAAAAGCAGTCGCAGGGTTGGGTGTCAGGGCCAATTTCTGTACCAAGGTAATCCCCCTTGACAAAACAGTCATACGTGACCCGCAACGTGGTATAACAGACAGCCCACATTTTTTCCTCTGCCTTAGCTTTTCCACTTGCCTTTTGGTTTTCCATCTCGCTCTCAACCAGCTTAAGCTGTGCGGGTCGGCTCAGTGACTCGATCCCAGGACCCGTCTTCAAACGAAGGAAGCGATCAAGACGCCCAAGACACCTCAAAGCGGGGACGGGGACGGGCTTGACTGCCGCAGCACCTCGGCGAGTTGGCCATGGGCCAAGGGGCCATTTCGAGGGAGGCCGATTTGTTTTTCCAGCTAGAAGAAATGGGGTCGACAGGCTCCGATAAACTCTGGTCTGTTGTTGGAGCAGCTTTCAAGGAGGGTTCTGGAGGGTTCTGGAGGGTTCTGGAGGGTTCTGGAGGGTTCCAGGGAGCCCTGGTAAAAATACCGCTGGGCTAATGTCTCCTGTAATTGGCAGACTCAGCATACCTTCGCAGACCCGTTTGACCCCTTTGGGTCCCTTCCCTCAATATGGTTTGGGCTTCTCAGCTGCTGGCGAAGCTAGCACCAATTATGGAAGCTGACAGACAATCGGAGGATGCTGGTGGGTTTTTCCTTTCGGGGAGGCCGTTATTCACTTCCAAGGTTGTTTTTTCAGGCAACAGCTGAGGCGCCAGCTTGCAGAGGAGCAGGTACAAGAAGAAGGGAACGACTGTCATCGCGGATCAAATCCTTGAAGTCTTCGAAGGCGACAATGGCATAGAGGCCAGTTGGACATCCGGGACAAATCAAAGAGCACCCTCAAAAGGATCCTGAAAACGGGTTCCGTGCCCTTTGGTCAGGTTCTCAAGGTTTCTCCGGGGGAAAGAAAGCAAAATACGTTGAATGGCTTGGTGAATGGCCTACCACCTTTCTTGGGGACTCCCAGCCTGTCACACTCCCATGACAGTTCGATGGATGTCAGTGGACTGTTGCCAACAATGCATTGGGCTTGTCTAATTCAGTCTACTCGTTTGCGCGCAACAAGGGCTCAAATCCGCACGTTGGATCCTTCGCACTTCGTGGCAATGATGTCCTCAGATGTGTCAGGGAAGCCAGGCTGAGGATCTGGAGATCGAAGCCGACCCAATCATTCCCCCCATAGGTTTCTCCTGGGTTTTTGCGCCATTAGGCGAACTTCCGAAAGCCGGGTACTGTGTACAGAACCATGGGAAAGCAAGGGAGTTATCTCAGTGAACACGCCAAGTCTCTCGGTCCACGATTCAGATGCCGCTTTTGCCAGGTCGAGAAAAAGTTCGAGACAGACTTCGGCAAGCTGCTGCGGGCAGGCACGAAGCGCCTCGGATGCAAATGAGACTTGGGGTGTCCAAACACTGTAGTCACTTCCGAAGCAACAACTTTGCCTGGTCAGAGATCCGACCTCTGAACGGGCTGCGCTCAAATATCTTGCCTGGCTGTTTCAGAGGCAGCTTCAGCTTGACCAGCCGGTTGATTTGTGTGGTGCTCCCAGACTTTAGGAAGCTCAGGAACGGGCGAACTTGCCCATGTCTGGATGGTTGCTTCTTAGGCACAAGGTTCTAACTTCTACGCACCTTTCAACTGCCGTGTGTGGGAGGCTTGTGTTTTCGAGTCGTACCTTTCGTCCCTTTCGTGGCTGCGAAGAGGGCCCTTTTTTTCCGCCGGTTGCACTGGCCTGGCACCCAAGTCGATCAACTTGGCTTTGCGGCGTACCTCGGGCAGCATTAGCGCGCGCAGCACCCAGGTATGAAACCAGTGAGACGGAGGAAGACAGGCCAGGCATGGGGGATGTGTTCGCCAGGGACTGAGCACTTGTCAAGGGAAACGGTAAAATAACTGAATGCATTCATATGCCTTTCACGCAGGTGCTTGATTTATGTGTATATATGTACACTTGGTATATGCGCATATTAGTCATCCCCTCCGAGCTCCCAACAACTCTCGTCATGGCTACTTTGCTGACTTTGTTTGTTGCTAGTAGGCGATACATTATCCAATACAGTCATATTATATATATACACATGTATATACATTATATATATATATATCTTCATATGCACAGATCCGAGTTGTCACACAGGCGGCCGGGCATCACGCTAAGCCGCCAGTAAATCCTTTGCTGATTCGTTCACGTTTTAATGGACTTGGATCGCGCAGCCAAACAATGCGGGGGTGTTACCATAAGCCAGGTGCATGTATTATCCATCATGCTTCCACATCCGAACATGGTGTGTTTTCCTGCAAAGCAGCGGTATCTAGATTTGCGAGGGAGGGTATCAATCTGACTATGAGTCTTCATGAGGGACGCTTTGGTGGACATTGTTTGGGTGGGGATTTATGTCCACCCACCTGCTTTCAAGGAAGGTCCCCATTAGCAGAGACATGGGACATCAATTCAGCCACGCTCCAAGGGCTTCCGGTTGGAGAGCGGGAGACAACTCCAAGTCGCCTTTGGCACGGAGGTTCGAGTCGCCTTTTTGGCAGTCGTGGGACAGAAGCAGTTTCCTGTTTCGATACGGGCCCCTTAAGTGGGATCGATGCGATATGCTTTGAGCAGCTTCATCCAATTGCGGATCCAGAAATTAGAACCTGCCAAGAGAGTTCCCATGCTCTTGTTTGCTAACCGTTTGGCTGAGCTGCTTCAGTTCCAGCATGCCCATGTTGCTGGTTTGCAGTATTTAGGAAGCCAGCGTTGCAACGTGTTGGCTGGCCTTCTGGCGAAGCAATCCAGCTTTATACATTTTAAACAAGTTGGAGTTACACAACTGGGGAGGTGAGTTCTTGTCGATTGAGGCTGGAGGCTGCCGGGGGGAACCCTTGTGAATTCCGGGATTAAAGCCTTGTTATTGGATAAGAAGCATTGTCAGAAGCTCCAAATGTTTGTACCTACTACCACCGTGGAGTTGGGAATTGAATTCTAGACGTTCTTGTCCGAGCCAGGGTTGGAGACCTGACGTTCTTCCAGCGCCTCCGGATGTGGCTACAGTCCAATGCCTACGATGCTTGGCAGAGCCAGAGTGCCGGCCCTGCGACAAATTTTGGATGTTCTGGGTGCACTCATGGGCGCGTCCGTGTCACTCTCCGCTTGTGAGTGGACATGATGCAGCCTATTCATGGTCTATTGATGGTGAACAGAGCATGTTCTGTTGCAGCGTGGATTCTCGTGACTCACATTGTATTTGCAGGGTGCTAACTGTCCATTTGCAGGGTGCCAACTGTCCATGCATCGAGTGTTGGGGTATCAGCTAAGTGTAGGGTGCACCCAAACGAGGCCCTGAGCAAAACCACAACATGTTTTGACCATAATTTCCGTTGATGGACAAAATCCACATCGCACCAGTTGGTAGGGGGTTTATCCATCCATCGGTGCAGGAATTTGTCCTTCGTGTAAGGGGCTACACAAATTACACACATGTGTTTTTCTTAAGATCTTGGTCATTGGCAAACCTGATTGAGAAGGACAACACATTACCCGGCTTACGGAAGTTGCAGCATAAGCAGTGGATTCCCAGTGTGTCACGCATTCCTTTCCCTTTCTCACCGCTCGAGTGGATTTAGAGAAAGTCCCCAGACAAGTCTCCGCCTAAGGGCAAGGGACCCTCGCCGGTCTGGTTTGCTGTTCGCAGTGAGCTTGTTATGCCCAGAACCCACTGAGTTATTCTTCCCAAAGGACCTTTACTTGGCTACAGAGCTTATTGAGGACCAGTGCCCAAACAGCCTTCAATGAATTGATCATCAACTGATCATGCTTGTAAGTCCCCCGAAGTACAGCCAGGATGCTCATCACTTACCTGACCCTTCACCTCTAGTGCGTCCAGTTTGTGTTTGGGGATGTTGGGGATCCCCCACAGGGGTGTGGTTCAAGAAAGTTACGCCAAGTTCGGCTGACGCAACACTTCGATGTTTGTCCACGGGTGTTTCAATATGCGGGCAGCTTCCCTTGGCCACCCACAGTTGCCTTCAGGAATTCACTCAGTGATTTCACCCTGCTGTACTTGCATTTTATGATCTGTAGCAAAATCCACAACCCAAACCATTTGGGATGGATGAAGGCCTACAACTGTTACAAGCCACTGACATCCACCCAGCTGGTGCCGGGATTTTTTTCATCCACAGTGTAGCCTGTTGCCCACATTCTGGCCTGGCCCGAGTGCTGACCTCAGGAGCTAGTGGCAAGCTTTTTGCTGTCAGGATCCTCGTTCCGCTTCACTTCCCGAGATGAACTTCAACAACTTTTCGGGAAGACCATTTTAGTGGCAACCGAAAAGCTGGGACTTTTGAAATCAGGCATCCATCCATCTCTCGGAAGTGAGCCGCCCATTTTTGTTGAATCGATCTTAGGAGATGTGCTGGCGAACTCTTAGGAGAGATCTCAGAATGGCCCACCTTAGCTATCCCCCAGGACCCAATGTATGCCCATAGTCCTGTTCGCCCAATTGTCGTTGTCTTTGAATCGATCTTAGGAGATGTGCATGGCTTTCATCTTGTGCCTCAACGTGCTGTGGATGGCCCTTGAGAGCCAGATCGATGGCCTGAACCTGGGCAGTCAGATCGGGATCTACCCTCCCGGCCCTGAGCAGTGGGAGCTCAGCTGCTCGGAACGGAAGATGGTCTAGGTCTCCCAGCTAGGTGCCCTTTTACCGTTTCTTTTTTGGTTGGGAGGGTTCCCCTACAAAAATAGACTACAGAAAAAAAAGGTACCCTTATAAGAACCTCTCTACTGGAGGACCTAGTGGTGTTAAGGTACAAGGAAACCAGCCATGTTTGGGGGAACCCCCCTATTTTGAGTCGAGTGGGAGATGTTTGATGATGTTTGTCTCTAAATGAGGGCATGGGTTCCTTTTGGTTTCTCTCAACAACGCGCGAAAGACCATGGAGTTTGAAATTCCATGTTTCAGGTGGTGACTAGCAATTTGCCTAGATCCATATGTGCCACGGTCAATCACCCAGCTGTGTATACTATAACTATATTTTAGCATAAACAGTGGCATATTCAGCGTTTTACCTTGCTTGCACCTCAAACAACAATGGCAGGGTCACGTTATTGACTTTGCCGACTTTCGAATCATAAACGGGTTCCGTTTTTGGCTGATAGTGTGTGTAGTTAATGTGTCAAGGATTAAGAATTGTTCAGCAGAATTGTGTTAGCAAAACGCTTTAACGCACTATAGTATGTACTCCATAGGTCTCAGACGAATGGCGGCCGAAGCATAGCAAAATAGCTGGGTTCTGGGTGAGGGTGACCACCATATATGCATGCATCTATACTATGCATGATATATATATATATATGTATACACATGTGCACCCCTACCCCAAAAATGGCGCCTGCTAAGGGAAGCGAGGTGATGCTAGACATATGTTACCCGAAGTGCAGTCATTTCACAACGTTGGCAGACTTGCCAGCTCTTGACATGTCTTTCACCTACAGCATGGAATGGTGGTCGGGTGAAAGGGATGGCATTTCTTCGCTTTATCTCCCATCCGTTCCGTCCACTCGCTAAATCTCAGAAACAAAGGGAGCGGAATGAATATTAGATAGTAAGGGAAGCATTAGATGATGGTAAAGATATGAGTGCTTCCACGTCTATGATTCCAGTCTTCATTATCAGCTCTTGGAGTGCTTTTCGGAGTGACGAAGAGAGATGAGGAAAGGAGGAAGAGTGAACCGTTAGACCAAGAGCTGGGACAACAATAAAGTCTTCGAATTTGGACCAGCTCCCGAGCGAAGAGAGGAATAACCGTTCCCATTCTCTCCTGTCTATCATTGACGGAGAGAATCCTACAGGTAGCCATTAAAATCAAGTAATTATTCAAGCCTTTCCATAGAGACACTTTTATATTTCTCTTTACTTCTTCTTTAGAATTATTTTAATGTGAAAATCATTACATTTAGAAGTTAAATCAGATTCATTTTGTTTTCTTATGAATATTTATATATTATAAATATTTGCAGATATTATAGTTTTTTTTCTTTACAGGATAGAACTACTTATTGTTGGACTGGAATTCACTTCTCATAGAAATATGTTCTTACATTGTTTCATCTTAATTAATTATTCATTTATAGTTTTCATTGGTCTAGAGATTTATTTCAGCCACCCATATAAGTATAGCTATTTGCTCCTACTATCTTGCAGGTTGTTTGTGCATTTGCTTGTTCAATCATTTCTTACATGATGTGGCCATAAGCTAATTCGACACCAGGTGAATTTTGACATAGCGTCAATAGCAAAGTTAGCTAGGCTGTAGTGATACACATGGTGCAAACCATAATATGTCATACATACATCTGACGTTGCCGAATATGTCAGTCAACAATCAAGCATGTGTTGTCAAATACACATCGTGACATTATCCTATTATTTTCAAAGGTTAACAAGTGTCCGTAATACGTTTTGCTTTCTAGCCTTCATCACACATGTTATGCTGACTCAGTTGACTGCAACACTGCAAGGCCCAGCCCCAAGGCCAAAGTGATGAACGGGCACCTGTTTCTGTTTGTTTATATCCTTTTGCGGTACCCTTACAGCATGTTCTAAACAAACTCAAAAGACCAATGCCCTGACCAGCAAGAGCTGTAAGAGTACCAACAAAAACATCTTGTACGCCTTGACCAATTCCACGCTGTTTCCCTGAATAAGACATGTGCTGAAATGTTCGGAAGAAAACCACAGTGTGATGCATCCAAGGGTAGGCGTGGATTTCTTCAAGTCATGTTGGGCATAATTTATTCTCCAATGTTCATTAATATGCTGAGCCCCATGCTGGATTCAGGATTCAAGATCCAGAGTCCTGGACATGTGGAATGATTAATCTTAGATCCAAAAGTGTTTCATAGCGCTTCAAAGCTTGTCTGGGCAGATATAGTCACAGTCAATGTGCAGTTGCGTGCAGAGTTAAATGCTCAAGAGCCGGCAAAAGGGGTGGGCATCACTCAAAGTACTGCAAATACTGGGACATCATCTCGGGGCGCGTTGTTTTGGGAGGGTATTATATACCTGTGTTTAATTATATAATATACATATTTGTGCATGCTCAGTTGGATGTGATTCTGGTCTCAATCCAGCGCCTCAACCTGTGGCAAGCGCACGTCTCACCGCGCTCCAAGCGACTCCCGGAGGTTTCATGATCGGAGACGTGTTCTTCACGTCCCTTTTCGCGTTGGACGTGCTGGTGCGGATATGTGTTTTGCAGCGGCCCGGTGGAACAGTCCCGACCCATGTTTATTTAGGTCTACGCCCTAACCTGTGTTTATCTATTTGATGTCGCTAGTCGTTTTTTGGTTCACTTGCGTTTGTGGGCTGGCTGGGGGTCGAATAGAGGCGTCCACCTGAAGAATTGAAGATGGAAGCACAGTGGGAGGATACAATCCGTTTATCCGGGCGCGAAACTGCCTTGAGCCATGACTGTTCACTGCGTAACAAATGAGCCAGAATCCAAGCCCGGGTGAAAATTTAAGGGTATGGGATGGACAAACCCAGCAGGCCTTATCACAACCGTTTCGTTCTTTTCCGCGTGATGGCGGAACCGGGCGGCAAACCAAGTTGATTCATGGCAAGCGGTTGGGCAATTGACTGCTTGGCCGCTTTATGTCAACGAAATGCTCGAGCTCAAAGGTGATGCCGTGAGTTCTTAACAAGTTGCCAATCGCATGGCCTCAGCACCCCGTCTTTGCTTTTGTTTGGGGGGGGCGGTCCCTCGAAGCTCTGAAGCACCAAGCCTGCGATGCGAGTAGCAGGAATAGAGGTCCTGTCGATCTAGACTGATTTGCCGGACTTGCCGGTCGGAAAAATGTATGACAGCCTTTTCGAAAACAATATGCCTTGGAAAATACGATAACCTCTGGTCAGCTTTTGCTTTGTAAAGTTCAGGTGGTTAGATTTCCGACCAAACATCTTGCCACAAACCCCCTGAGAACTGTTATGAAGGACTGTTCCTCGCTTGTTCCCCCTATCTGCAAGATTCAGAGCACCCACCGTGCCAGTTTTGCTCAAGCCCCCTTTTGGATAGCCAACCCAGTGGGTAACCTTGATTAATAAGTTGTCAGTGAGTTGCAGGATAAACTCTTGTTTGGGGACTTGTTAAGCAGAATGTCTTTAAGCGCCATCCGGGCTGGTCATCTAACTTACCTTTTGTTCATTGTGAAACTGCAGCAGTGATTGTGTGTGCATGTTTTCGAGGGCAACCGTCATTCTCCGGGATTCCATTTTTCGTGGTTCGGCATCGTCATGTTGCTCAGGGATCATCTCATGTGGCTCGAGGCGCCTCTTCTTCAAGTCCTGCATGAACTACGTGGACCTCGTCGTGAGTGCGACCTCGCTCGCGGAGATGACGCTGACGAGACTCGGATGGCCGTGGCAGAAGGGTGAGTTCGGGCATGGAGCACCAAGGAAGCTTTTTTTAGACCGTGCGGCTATAGGTCCTGACAAGGCCATCTTCGGGGCAAAGATCTAATTTGTTCAGTCACAGGAGTTGAAACCAGTCGGATAGTCCTTCAAATATGTTGTTTGCTCTGTGTTGGAACAATCGAACCACCCTGCAATTGTGTGGATAGTTTTTAGCTCATTCATGAGTCTCGGGAGAGCAGCGTAAGTTTTGTATGTTGCTTACCTTAAGACTAGTTCAAATGATGGGTGCTTGGCAGTCTTCCTTTCACACCAATGTCCAGACGTTTTGCTTTCATTGATCAAGGCAAGCCTACACTTGGGCATACAGCGCGCATGTTGTCAGAAGTCGGGGACAAGGTTTCGTGGTGGCTCAAGCTTGAGGATGTGCTTGTTGTTGATTAGAAAGCCGCAAACCGAAGGACGGTTAAGTCGTAAGCTCTTGGCGGCAAACAGCTAAGATGCTTCGCATCTTTGGCTCAAGCCATGTCGTTTCGTTCAGTTCGTACAGATGCTGTTCAAATCTTTGCTGCGCATATAAACCTGGGCTGTTGTTCATGAATTTCCCAGCCTGTGAAGTAAGCTTTTCTCCAACACGCGGTCATATATGGGTGTTTTTCCAAATGAGAGAGTCCGGGTTGCTTTCTTGGTTTCCCTTTACCGTCCAACGTGTTCCATCGTTAAAGAACCACGCATTTTCACCTTTTTCCAGAAATCCTTGGCACCGCGTTTTCGCATTTGAAACTGTGTGCCCCCCATTGCCGGAATGCTTGGCTTGCCAAAGCCCCAAGAGAATCAGTTGCGCATGGGGACCGGAACGGCCGGCGCACAAGGGTCTCGATGAGCTTGAACCCGGTCCTCTTCCGCTTGCTGCGTATCGGAAAGCTGTTCCGCGCGGTGCGCATGGTGCACATGACCAACATGCGCCTCGACTTGCAAGCACCGCGCAGTGTGGTGTGTTGTTCTTGTTTATTATTGCTATTGTCCGTACTCCTTTTCATGTGATAGTTCTTGTTCTAGTTCTTGCTGTTGCTGTGCTGCTCTTGTTATTGTTATGGTGTTTGCTGTTGCTGTTGCTGTTGCTGCTCTTGTTCTTGCTGTTTAATTCTTGTTCTTGTGGTTGCGGTTGCGGTTGCGGTTTGTGTTGGTGTTGTTGCAGTTTCCGTTGTTGTTGCGCTATTCAGGTTGGCCTCGCTCCATCTCCTAGTGCCGCTTGCCTGGAAAGAAGCCCGGGTCCGCAATCCCTGGCGCTGTTGAAACCGCATCCCGTTGGGAGGCCTCTTTGGTTCTTGGGGAGGAAATCTAGGTCCTCCAGTGGAGAGGTTAGACTATGGGTACCCTTTTTTCTGTAGTCTATTTTAGTAGGGGAACCCTCCCCCAACAAAAACGGTAAAAGGGCACCTAGCTGGGGGACCTAGTAATGCAATGACATAGCAACCATTCGGGAGGACAAGCTGCAGACGCCAATGAGTTTCCGATTTGCCCCGTGTCGCTGCTTGTTCCGAGGGGGTGTGCAATGGTCTGAAGACAAGGATGTCGAGTCGGGGGGACAAACACACACTTAGGGTTAGGCAGCGTGAATTCACTTCGCAAGTGCTTGGGCCATGGTCGGCTTAGTGGGTTCGCCATTTTTTGAGCCTGCTTGGGCTAATCAATTTACAGACCGAGGCTTGTGGTTGGGATTAGTTTCCACGCGAGGTTAGCATGAAACCGTCAAGGGAATCCGCCCAATGGGGGCTTTGCTCCCTGCTAATTATCTTGAGGTTTTTTTTCGTTTTTGTGCTTCAAGTCGGGAGGGGAACCCTTGTGAATGAGGGATCTCCCCCAAAATTGGCGAATTTCCATTCGTTTATCATAGTTTCCCTTTTGTTTCCCTTTCAATACAATCTCAAAGCAGCTGCCTGCTCCAACAAGAACCATATTCACGTCCTTCATCGGCATCTGAAGCGTCAAAGGGAACCTTGGCTCAGCAGATTCCTGCAAGTCCGGAGGCAGAGCGGTGCTTGGTGAAAAAAGTGAGGCAAAAAATTAAACGCCTCTGCCAGTGGACCGCTGCGTTCCGGTAAATGCGATGGTGACTTGCGCTTGGCCACATCGCTGGCGCCCATCGCCAGGCTATAAGGAGCACCCGTGGAAAGGCTGAAGCGTCCGTTTGGGATGGCACCACTGGTTGCGCAATCCAGTTCCTAGGCGTCCGAAAAGTATGGCTCACAAGATGGGTGTAGGCTTGAGGTTCCTTTGCGCATAGGTCAAAGTCAAACATTCAGACATGCTTCGGTGGACTTATGAAAAATTGGTCGAGACGTATGTCCAAAACCTACTGCAATTCATAGCCATACCTCCATGTGAGGCAGATCCATGAAAGTGATGCCGATGTTTTTCTTTTTTCTCAGGCAGTTCAATACTTGTTGAAACCATACTGTATGTTTAAAGTGGCTTAACCACGCTTAAACACTGCAGGGATTGCATCGCCCAACCCTGCAACTAAGGAAGTGCCTCATCGCCAGCTGCAACATGCTTTTCTGGAGCTTCTGTCTGCTGACCTTTCTGCAGTGTGTGTCCGGTCTCGTCATCAGCACACTATGCAAGGACGCAAATGCATTGGCGTTCTTGACATGGCAGGTCCACACCTTGAGAAGTGGTTGGTCATATGTGCGTGTTTAATTATGTATACGTATATGTATATTGTTCCGGTCGTATTTAAAGTAGATGGTGTTGTGTGTCAGTTGTTTTCCTGATAAATGTTCATGTATTCATGGATATGTATTTTGCTCTTGTGTATATGTTTAGTTACATCTTTGTTGATATATTTATGTCCTCATTTTGCTTGTATATATGTTGTTACCATGATTTCCGTTTCTTGTCGTTTGTTATGTACGTTGTTTCTTCTTATTCTTCTTCTTCTTCTTTTTTTACACAATTCTAGCTTTATGTATGTCATTGTTTCCGTGTGTCTTTCCGTTTTTGTTATTTGTTGTGTTTTGTTATTTTGTGTGTTCTGTCTTTTGTCATTTTGTTTGTTTATTTTTTTGAGTTCTTTTGTTTTCTCAGTTTATGTGTTTTCTTTCTGTCTTTCTTTCCTTCTTTCTGTCTTCATTTCTGTTGTTGTGTGTGTTTGTGTGCCCCTATTTGCTTGGACGTTTGCATTTGGAGTAGGTGGCTTGAACCGACTGCACATTCATAGTATAGATATACACGTATGCAAAGACAGTTATTTATGGTGGGTTTTGCAGTAAATATCAGTGTGTCTTTACATGCTGTGATTGGTTGCGCCTACTTACTTACATGCGGCCACTCCAGAAAGAATGGATTGCAACACAATGGTCGTTTTGGAAACTGCAGTTGCTCCTCATGTTCAGCAAGCAATCTGATGCATTTGGCTGCCTTTGAAAGCCCAGCGCAAACGTTTGCCAGAGGGAAGCTGGCATGTTTTTGTCATTTCACAGCGTTTTCAGCCTCTGGCCGCTCCATGTATTGTACCGCGAGGTCTGAAACTGCATGCATCCAGGACAAGAAGCGCTGTACTTTCTGCATCTTTTGTCCAATGCATCTATGCTTCTAGGTTTGCAGAACAATTTTGCCCCGCGACTTTACACTTCATCAAAGGAAGTTTCGAGAAACTTCTTTAGTACAGAAGCTAATTGAAAGGGAACTTGCGCAGATAGATAGCTTCAGAAGATCAGTTAGCGTATGCGAAAAGATAGTTTTTGCAGTTAGCTTACAGAAGATCAGATGGCCTATGCGAAAAGATAGCGTACGCGCAGATAGCAAGAGCACAGATAAGATGAAGAATTAATGCACGCAAGACAGCATGCGTGGGCGTGTGTCCGGGTAATAGAATTCGCGACCACGAGCAACGCTCTGTGGGTTTTGGCGAGTCTGCGTCGATGTCAGCCACCTCTGTCTCGACGCCATTCGGGGCGCGCCGAACCCGCGCGGCCTCGGCGCACGGCCCACTGAAATGGCAACGCGAAGGTTTCGCACAGTTTGGATTGCGTGGCAGGCGCAGCACTTTCGCAAGGTCAGGCGCGGATTCCGTGGCAGGCCCAACGCTTTCACAAGCGGTCAAGTGCAGATTTCGTGGTACGCGCAGCAGCAGCAGCACTTTTCGCGACACTTCGCGGTAGGCGCAGCATTTTCGCAAGGTACGGTGTCGCAAGGGATGAAGAGAAAGAGAGAGAGAAAGAGAGAAAGATAGAAAGAAAGAAAGAAAGAAAGAAAGAAAGAAAGAGAGAGAGAGACAGAAGGAGAATGAGAGAGGGAGGGGAAGAGAACAAAAGAAGAGAGAAAGAGAAGGAGAAAGAGATAAAGAGAGAAAGAGAAAGAGACAGAGAGCAAGAGAAAGAGGAGATAAAAAGAAAGTGAGAAAGAGATAAAGAGAGAAAGATACAGAGAAGGAGAAAGGGAAAGAAAGCAACAAAGAGACAAACACATATCTAGTCCTTCTACAAACTATGTTATATATATAAATAAATATATATATATATATGAGCCACGGACAAAACACACGAAGACCACTTTATCAAGGCGGCGTACGTTTTTGCATAACACATGCCAAAACCATGGAAAACGATAAGGTCTCCCCCAAAAACGATAACCCTTAGCTAACACACGGCTCTATAATAACCCCTGCAGTTGCAACTTAGTTAGGGTGGGACCCTTGCGTGGCCACCGTAAAACGAGAAGGCAAGTCGCCACTTTCGAGCTGGAGCTGCCAAGGTGTGCTTTGTAAACACGACACTTGTAGTACTGAGAAGTTGCGATTTTCGAGCTGGAGCTGCGGAAGTGTACTTCGCGTACACGACAAAGTTGCGATTTTCGAGCTGGAGATGCGGAATTGTGCTTCGCGTACTAGACTTGCGTTGCAAAGTTGCGATTTTCGAGCCGGAGATGCGGAAGTGTACTTCGCGCACTAGCCTTGTACTACAAAGTTGCGATTTTTCGAGCTTGAGCTGCGGACGTGTACTTCGCGTACTAGCTTGTACAACAAAGTTGCGATTTTCGAGCTGGAGATGCGGAAGTGTACTTCGCGTACTAGACTTGTACTACAAAGTTGCGATTTTCGAGCTGGAGATGCGGAAGTGTAATTTGTTTACTAGACTTGCGATTTTCGAGCTGGAGCTGCGGAAGTGCACTTCGCGCACTAGACTTGTACTACAAAGTTTCGATCTGGAGCTGCGGAAGTGTACTTCTCGCACTAGACTTGCACTACAAAGTTGCGATTTTCGAGCCGGAGCTGCGGAAGTGTACTTCGCGTACTAGACTTGTACTACAAAGTTGCGACTTTCGAGCTGGAGCTGCGGAAGTGTACTTCGTGTACTAAACACTTGTACTACAAAGTTGCAATTTTTCGAGCTGGAGCTGCGTAAGTGTACTTCGCGTACTAGACTTGTACTACAAAGTTGCGATTTTCGAGCTGGAGATGCGGAAGTGTACTTCGCGCACTAGCCTTGTACTACAAAGTTGCGATTTTCGAGCTCGAGATGCGGAAGTGTACTTCTCGTACTAGACTTGTACTACAAAGTTGCGATTTTCGAGCTGGAGCTGCGGAAGTGTACTTCGCGTACTATTCTTTTACTACAAAGTTGCGATTTTCGAGCTGGAGATGCGGAAGTGTACTTCTCGTACTAGACTTGTACTACAAAGTTGCGATTTTCGAGCTGGAGCTGCGGAAGTGTACTTCGCGTACTAGACTTTTACTACAAAGTTGCGATTTTCCAGCTGGAGATGCGGAAGTGTAGTTCGCGTACTAGACTTGTACTACAAAGTTGCGATTTTCGATCTGGATCTGCGGAAGCTTGAAAACACTGTAAAATGATAAGGTCTCCCCCAAAAACGATAACGTTCAAAAAAGTACTAGGGCCAAGTAAAGTGTTTCGTCCGCTCCTCATATATTGCTAGATGTGGTTTTGGCAAGCACGGCTTTCGTTTGTACGCCGCATTACGCCACAGTCACGGAGGAGTACATCGCCTCAGAGATGCACGAGATGAAAGCGCGGGAGGACGTGTTCTTGCCGCGCGGCACAGAAAGGGAAAAGCCATTTGGCTTGGGTCAAAACCGTTTTGGACCCCATTTTTGGGGTAGGTGCACCACCCGTTTTAGTCTATTTTCATGGGGATTGGGATCTTCACTGGGGGTACGGAATTTTGACCCATGACCATTTTTGGGTCGAAGCCTTGTCATTCCCTTTGGTGTTTAGGGTAGCCAGCATGTTTTCGGGTAGGTTCTTCAGGGCTGGTTCCGCGGGGGGGAACTGGATCTGGGAAACAGGGGGTTGATTCATTGGAGATGTTTCGGGGTTGTTTCCCCCTAGAAGCGGGGTTTTGTTAGGGGGTGGCTTTGGAGGTTGCCAGTTCCCCACAACCCCTTGGCCCCTCAGGCTTGGTTTGACGGAACACCAAAAGGAAGCCCGCCCTTTTTGAGGTCGTCCCAATGTAAGACCAACCTCTTGTAGTATAGAATTGTATTTTCCGATGCATAAAAACGCAAATATGCATATGCCTGGTAAACATCTCAGTGCTTCAGTTTCCGCCGTGAAAAGGTTGAACCCTCCATTTGAGATGAAGCAGACGGTATGCGGCAAATGGATTTGGAATTTACTTTATGGACTTAGGACTCCCCTGCATCGGTCAGTATCGGATTCCCTGAATGCCTCTATCCTCTTGAGGCCAGCTAAGGTTTTTGCTTTCATACAGTACTGATGGCACCCAACACCACATTCAGAGTGATCATAGTGATCAGAATTTAACATTCCCTGCTACAGTAGCTTTGCAGACGAGATGACATAGGGTACACTCGCAAATCAACAATACAAGGCGGGGGTTACTCACCAAATGTCCAGGTCACTGCAAGACAATCATTTTGACCGGTCCATTTTCAGCTTCTCGATGTCCAATTACAAAACCACCCGGCCCGGCATGGCTTTCCTGTTCCACTTCGAGTCATGGTTACAGCTTAACTGGCGATGGCAGAGAGCCAAAATGTTCTTTTGCATAGAACTTTTATTGCGACACCCACACCCATCCCCCAACAAACACCTCCAGAAATGGTGTCTTGTAGTCTTTCCCTTTTGTTGTGCCTACCAGACAATAACACTCTGGCCAACCCCTTGCGCTATTGTCAGGGCGTACATGTTCGTTTCGTTGCTCAGGTATCCGCCTTGCTACCTTCGGTTGATGCATGTGCAAAGCGCTTGGATTTGATTTCAAGATTGAGGCCCACACGACTAATTAATATGTGTCTTCCAGCTGTTGTTTTGAGGCCCCCACGACCAGACAGCTGCACGCCCCTGTTGAGCACCAGCTCGTAAAGCTAAGCCCGAATTGCCCATTGGCAGCGTTGCGGATCGACGCTTGGCTGCAAGTCAAATTATAAGGTCCGGAACAGGGTCCGGAACCCACATGCGATCCATACCTCCGTTCCAGACCTCCGGTCCAGACCTTGCCTAGAAACATGCTCCAGACCTTCCGTTCCAGACCTTGTTTATATATATATATATTTATATATATATATATTTATATATATGTCTAGTTTAGAGTATTGTTTCAGACTGTCAGGTAATTTGGTAGCTTATTGACTCCCCCCTTGTTTTGCCAAACACTACGCGTTAAAGCTGGTGTTCGAGAAGCCTGAGGTGCTAACGATGGGTTTTGCTTGTCGAGCTTTGGTGGTTGGGGCTGCGTGGCTTGTAATCATTGGGACTTGGATAGAATTGGGCAGCTGTCCTGTTGACAGATGTATTTTTGGAACGGCCTGCCAATGTTAAGGGGTCAACCCCGACGCAATCTGTTCGATACGATACGGTAACGGTTCGATACCGCTCTTGGTCGTCGCATTGTTGAAACCATGTTTGCGCGCTGCTTGCTAGCATTCCCAAGTGCAAGCTACTCGCGAAACCGTTCCAGACCCCGTTCCAGACCCGTTCCAGACTTGTTCCAGATGCAGCGGAGCAATTTGCCACCAAGTCCACATGCACACACACACACACACACACACACACACACACACACACACACACACACACACAGACACACACACACACACACTCGCCCCATGTAAGTAGCTGCGCTTTTTACGCGGTCCGGCATGCCGCCCAAGAAGCCTTCAAGGAGGTGCCGTATCGCAAGGCCGCGCGGCCCTGGTCGCTTCATCCATCCATCTCCCATCCATCCATTCATCCATCCATCTTACACTAAATGAACGTGTGCTTGAGGACTCCACACATGTCTTCCCAGAGGTCCGGAACAACCAACCTTACGTAACTGACTCGTTCCAGACGTCCGCGTCACCGCGGAACGTTCCACAATGTTGACCCACACCCACTTCATCGAAACCGGCTCGGCAATGTTCGGCAGCCAAGGTACTTTGGCACTTTCACCCGGACGTTTCTCACGATGTTCGAAACTCGGCGCTTCCGAGCCATACCCTCAGACTTTTACATGTGATGTTTTTCGCGTAGAGACGGCTTTGTGAAATAGCGCACTGAAAGCTCAGCTTTTTGCAAAGGATTAATAAACCACACATTTCCTGTGATAGGGTGTTCGCTTCAGCTTCCGCGCCGCAAAGGAAATTTTATTTGCAAATTGGGGCCCGCCCTGCCGCGTCTTGATCGAGAACGTCAGCGAATGGTTCTCCGTATTCTTCCTCCTCTACCGATGCGTGCTAGGCAGGGTGTGCCACTGAACCACCAAAGAAAAACGGGCTGGCCTATACTACAATATGCTGAAAACTTGGACCCGACGGGGTTCCCACTGAAAGGGATGTATTCCATCCACTTTTGAACTGGAGTTTCTGGGGCCTCATTTTTGGGATGGCGCATTCATTCACGGAGGTTGAGTTCAGCGAGACAGGACTCATTTGCAGGAGTAAACGTATTGGATTAGCTCGCAGATGCTCAGAGGTTTGCAACACCGGGGGAGTTGTTGGCCGTGCAACAGTAGCTGCAAGAAATGGTCAACACTTTCCCGAGCAGGCATATCATTTCATGGAGTCGTTGCACGTACAGTTTCAGTTGCACTCTTAAGGCTTGAATTCAGTGTGTGCCTGTGGCATCAATTGCATTGCGTTTAGCAAGTTTAGCACATACCATCATTTTAACCTCTTGACTGAATAATCATAAAGGGCCTCCAACGGGTTTGGTGCTTGCTAAGTGCAACGAGCTTGACCAACAGGCCTCCCCTGCTCGCGGCACAGATCCTTCTTTCGGCGTCTGCGCATGCGGCTGTGGGTCAAAAAGGAGTATCCATTTTGGAACCTTAGTGAATGTAACCAAGGACTAAAACCTGCGGTCCCCAGGTGCTTTAATTTTGACCCATACCCATGCGAGTTGGACGTCCAGTTTGAAGACTGCCTCAGTTGAAAGCTGATTGTGTTTTGGAGCTGCAAGGAGGAGCAGGGTCCAGTGTGAAGGCAATTTGTGGTGGCTCAGAATTTTTACATGCGGGTCAGTTTTTGCCTTGGTGACTGCCAGACATTTCAACTATTTCAGATATTTGTTTACACGTTTGGATTATCAGATCTATCAGACAACATGATACATGAACACACTGATAGGAGGAAGTCTTGGCGAGAGCTACATCCAAGGGAGAATTCGAAGATGGAGCTGAAAGATAAAGCCACGGTCAATTGGTTCATGGGCCCCAGAAATCAGCCGAAAACGAGGGAGGTCGAGTCTCAGAACTCGAAACGAAGAGGGCCTTCACAGCGTGTGAACAAAAGTCCTGCCCGAATTGGGGTGGATGAACGCCTGTGCAATTTGGCCCATCCGCAGTAGGGGGACCCCTTTGTTGGCTTCCCTCATTCCATGCCAGGCTTTGCCGTGGTCAACGTGGCCTTGCACTTAGTTGCTTTCCGCTGTCCATATGTCCTGCCGCAGGTGCCGGGTCTGAGTTCCTGGATGTTACACTGGCATATGTTTTTTGTAAAGACGTTCGTGTTGGCAATTTCTGTGAATTGTATCGAGTGAACATTGGTAGTGTCAGCCGGACATGAAGGTCCGCTACCAGGGTCTTCCTTGTTTCCGGCTTGTGAATAGTGGATTGACCTATTTTGCTCTCAGCATCCTTTAAGCACGCAGCGTGAAGGGCCCTCTTCACACCAGCTTGTCAATTCGGCCCAGCCCACCTACTGGTGCCCTTGTTGGCCCTAGCCGTCCAGCTGGCTTGAGTGCGCAATCGCGCATCATCATCTCCCGATTTGTAGGGCAGCTTTGGCCGGCAATGGGGGCTGCCGCGTGACAACATCTATAACACTATATTTATGTGTTTTGCGACTATATACACACGCTCGCTGAAGGTCAACGCGGTCTTCGTTCAGCAGACCATGAAGACAGCCAGCACAGATGAGGAGCTCGCCTTCAAGCAGAAGGAGAAGGAGCGACTGTAGGGCGTCACAAGACCTCAAGCAGTATTCCGCGCTGCATATGATGTACAATGCATGTGTAATATATATATATATATGTATATATATATATATATATGTTTCCATATATACATATGTGTATATATATATACATATGTATATATATATATGTATATATTGACAGCACTATATCATATGTATGCGTACAGGATGTCACAAAATGCACATTGGGTTTTCTTGTGTGAGGTACTAAGTTGGACAAGTTCTCATTTATGGCTGGAGCAACGGGTTGAGCTATCCCAATTGTTTTGTGCTGTAGACTTCTTTCCCCAACGAGTATATGGGTCCGTGTAGATCAACACCATGGAACTTAATGGTGACGTGGGTACCTTGAGGGATGCATTTGCACTTGGGTTTCAGGGGCGACACATATGCTGAATTGATATTGATTCCAACCGCTAGTCGGGCGGGTTCAATCCCTGTCTGCCGCACTACCTGGGGTTCCTGTGGAAGGTTTGCCTCCATTTGTCTCGGGTAGACCTTCTTGACTTGAAGTCTTGAGCCCTGCAGCACCGCTTGAAGTGGTGAACTAGTGAGATGCGAGGATAACGTTGTCGGGATATCGCTTCTTGATTGTCCCAAATATCTTTCGGGTGGTTCGACCCCTAAATCCTTAGTTTGTTTTTGCCCAATGGGGGTTGTCAGTTTTTAGTACTGGTCGCCTATTGTTCTTGTGCGGTTCTTGTCGGGCATTCATGCTTGATAGTATGCGAGGCGCTTGTTGTTTGTTGTTGTTTGCAAGTTCTCGTGAACAATCATCGAGGTAGCCTGTATTCACACCCGTCACAGTACGCTGCATTCTTGAAGTGCCAGCCGTTTGCAAGGCGTGCAAATAACAAGTAGGCGAGAGGTAAATGAGCAACTGTCGTTGGATGTAGCGCGTCACCAGGGACCCTCCTCTTCTCTGTGAATGGTGGCTTCCCCTGCTGCTGCAACGCGGGTTGCTTTGACCATTGACATGAGCAAGAAGCAGAGAACGGGTCCCCCTGTGTGGATCTGTTTGTAAGGACAGAAGGAGCTCCCCTTGTGAAACATGTTGAATGTCAACAGCTCCACATTCCAGTGGATGGTTGTTCGGGCTTGAGCCTACTTTCATGGGCAACAAAGGCGGGTTGGGGATATCCCTGAAGCCAAGGGAAGCCCTGAATACGGCCTTAAGAGATGAACACGGGATAGCCCCCCCCCTGCCCACGGCCGCGGCCCCCCTTAGGGGTCCATGCCGAGGACATCGCCTTGTACACTCGAAAGGTGCGGAACTTGTTCCAGAGCATGGATGCTTCAGGCGGGGGAAACTGCCGGATCGCCTGGGAGTTGGGGCCAGCACTGAACCATGAGTCTACCTCAACCAGAAGATCAGACCTGGCGCGGGTCGAAGGCGTTTCGAGTCTCCGCAAAGAGCCGAAATGTGTGGGCAATGCCCCTGGCCTTCACCAGCAAGAGCATGTGCGAAGCGATGGAACTCGGATGGGACCTTCCGGAGAAAAGAAAGACAGTCGCTCGTATAGATACAAACATGTACTATGATATACGCATAGAGTGTATAGCCTTTCATGTCATACTTGTTTGCCGTTATTTTCTTGGGGGGGCTACCCTATTTTAGGAAGCACAAGTCTGTTGGTTAAAAGCTGCAGCCGCTCCGGCGACTAACTTAGTCACCAAAGCAGAAGCACCTATGCCGTTGGTAGCGCCGCAGGGTTCACTGTTGAGTTCGCCTGGAAGAAAGGGATGGTCACAGGCATTTTCTGAAGAAGGGACGCCATTTTGGTGGCTGGGGTTGCCTTAATTTTCCTTGCAAACTATCCCACATGGGGGTCCATATTAGTTGAAAGATGGCCTGCTCCCAACTGGGGAAAACTGTCCAGGTGGATCCATGGGTTCGGCCAGGGGAGTACTGAGACAAACGCGGGGCCCAAGGACGAAGCAATTTGTAGCCAGGAGAGCAGCACCGAAAAGGCTTCTGGCTTGTGTTGGCATTCACCCCATCGGTTTGAGGGCGAAGGATGACTAGTTAGCCAGAGGAGCGCGGGGGTAGTCAGTAGTGCTTCCTCGAGAACAAGTGACCCTGATGACGTGTTTGTACGACCAGAAGACTTCTTCAAGAAGAGTGTTCAGGTTCACTCTTGCGCGCCCTTTCCCTTGAAAGCCTTCACTCCATATTTTTCGTAGATGGCAGAATCTGAAGGAGCAGGGCCTTCCTGCGATTGAAGGTCATTGTGCCAAGTGTCTGAAGAGCGTTTTCCCCCTGGAGGTGACTGAATAAGGGCCTCCTTTTACTCCAGATCCAGCGTATCAAGCCTTCTATGGGTTTCTAGGTAGACTGTGACATCATGTTCAGCGAGCCCAACACGTAGCGTTTGTTGCCCTCCCTTCTTTCAGCGCAACTGGTAGCCCCTTCGGTCAGGGGACGGCGCCATCAATTTGGAGGAGTTCCTCGGAATCGAGATGAACGTTTGACCTGCTGTATGTCGTTGTTTTCCAGTGCTTGGGTAAGGTGCAACGTTAACGCACATCCTGGCATGGTTCGTGTCCCTTGGTTTCCGTTTGTCAGTGCTTCAAGTGACAAGGTGATCACCTTGGGTTGCGGAGCGCTTTCTTGTGGCACGTGAGGTTCGCCAAGTTGGTGAAAAGTCCAAAGCTGAAGTTTTGGATGAGCCAACTCGAGCTCGAGTACCACGACCTGCTGAGCTTGTTCGAATTCCTGGCCGCTTGCCTTAGGTTTGTTTTTGGGTTGTCGTTTCCGTGACCCCCATCATGGCTGGCAGGGTGTCACCTCCCCGATTTGGATGTCGCACACCGTTTCTGAGGCTTAGGGCTTGGAGGACCCGTGGTTCCCACAACCTCGAGGGTATCAGCAAGATGGATTTTGGGGTGCAAGCAAACTCCCCCAAGACGGTGGGGCAGATTCATTTGTGCAGTCGATTGGCTCAGGATAACGGCGATGGAGAGATCACGCCTCTTGGCTCTTGAGGTGGACAAACGAGCGGGCGGTTGACGAAGTGCTCATGGCTGATTCAGACATGGCAGCGCATTCTCGAATCTATGTGCTGGTCTTTGTGTGAGTGGGCCGCATGTCGGATTCGCTTGGAGCATCGGATGGAAGGGGTGAGCAAGACAAGGTCATGTGAGCTCCGCTGACTCTTGAACGTGTGGCTCACGAGTCGGTGCTGGCATATATAGGTTTTAAGGCACAACACCACGGCAGCCTTCGCCTTCGCCAAGTTGCCTTTTGGTAGACATGGAATAAGCTTCATAATCCTGAGGGTAAGCTGCAAGAATGGCTAGGGAACAGGGAGTTTGGGATGTCCAGCTTGATTGTGGGGTGATGCTTACGGACTTTGGACACCAAGGCATCCTTCGCACGCTTTTCATCTGATTTGCTTTGCTTACGTCCGTTCTGGAAGCCGAGCAAGAGAGCTTGCGTTGTGGTTTTTCACCAACCAAGGGCTCCCCACAACCGACACACCCACATTGATTTGACCTGTACAACATGGTGCAGTTGCCCTCCAGCTGTAGCGGCACCCTCCAAGCAATTCGTTTGGAGCGTGCAGGTTCCAGCACTGACATTATACCTCGGGGATCCAAGTGTAAGTTGTTTTTTTGCTCAGGGGGTCATTTGGGAACCAAAGTGCCTCACTAAAAACCTACATGGATGCTGGAGAGGATGGCCTCCTTCCCCCCTCTCCCCCGTCCTCCTTCCCAGCCTTCTCTCGCGTGTGGACTCGCGCGTGCGAGGCTCATGGAGTTCATCGAAGGCGCTGGGAGGCTCCGGGGCAATGCCAAGGCTCTGGACATTTGGCGCGTGGAGACCAAACTCGAGGCGCGCTCCGGCGCGTGAGCGTTGGCGTGGGTCGGGTTTCGGCGTGCGAGCGAGCGAGCCGAGATTCAAGAGACCTTCGGATTGGAGTGAAGGTGGGGTTGGAGGGCGGCGCCAAAGTCTTTGTGCGGCGCAAACTTGAGGCGTGGGGTACATTGCATAATTGAAAAATAAGTGGTCAACAGACTTGCCTGGACGGCTTTCTGCTGCCCTCCCTCCCTCCCTCCCTCCCTCCCTCCCTCCCTCCCTCCCTCCCTCCTCCCTCCCTCCCTCCCTCCCTCCCTCCCTCCCTCCCTCCCTCCCTCCCTCTTATTATTGGAGATCATCGTTGCCTACTTGCAAGTGATTCCAGACTCCTGTTGGTATGCCAAACTGATCCCAAACCTGGTTAGATCCGGTGGGACATTCCCGACCAGCAGTAGTCACAAGACTTGGGGTTTGGCATCGGCCCCTTCCGCCTTTTTTTTGATTGTGACTCAGGAATCAAAGCTCGAAGGGCCAGGCTACTTCGTCAAAGACCAAACACTGTAATTACTGGCCGGCGCAAATTCCGGTGTTTTCTTGTGTGAAATTTGCACATAAAAGCCAGAATATGTGCGAGCTGGGGAATCGGAAGCAGGCCCTCTGTGCATGAAGCTTCGCGGTCTGCTTTGCAGCCATCAAATGGTGAACCTTCTGCGCGGGGGGTGTGGAGCTTCCACGACTCTGTCTTGTGTTGCTTCTTTCAATTCGCTTGCGGAACCCTCTGCAGGCTTTTGGGGCTCGACTGTCAAAACGCGTTCGTTGTCTTTTGTTTGCTCTTGTCTTGGTCACTTTCGTGGGGCGGAGGAGAAAGGCAACGAGAACGAAGAAGAGAAAGTGAACAAGAGAAACAGAAAGCGAAGAGAGCGAGCAAGCTGAGAGAGAAAGCACAAAGAAAACGAGAATGAGGAGGAGGAACCCAGCAGACGAAGAGGAAGAGGAAGAATAAAATGGATAATTTCAGGCCACAGTTAAAGAGAAGTGCAGGAAGAAAACGAGAATAACAATAGAGGTACAGCACAGAAGAGACTAATACATTTTCATGGGAGAGAGAGAGAGAGAGAGACAGAGAGATTTCTAGAGGGAACAAAACAAGAGAATGAGAAGGATAACAATAATGATTTTTGGAAAGTGAAACAAGCAGAAATGGGAGAAGAGGGGGATGAAGAGAAGAGAAGAACGAAAAGGAAGATAAATACTTCTAGGGGTACCTTCCCCATTCTTTCCAGGGATCCTTCTTTCCAGAAAACCTTCAAAAACCCAGGCAAAATAGATAGCTTTTGAGAAGAAAGATGGTTGGACAGAATGGGGAATCAACCCCTAGAATACTGGCATCGTTCGAGCAAAAACGGGTCGTAAGCTGTAGCCGACCCCCCCGGAATCGGTGCACCTGGCTCGCGCCAGGTGCTCTTCGAGCGGGTGCTGCGCGCCCTGCCAGCGATGGAAGCTTCGGAAGCTGCCGCCGAGGCGGCCTCGGGGGCGCCCTCCGTGCAGGAGGTCTTCGACCACTCGGTGCAGGGACCTCGGATGTGGAGACACGGCTGTGGTTGTCAAAACCAGTGGGATCCCATTTTGGGGTAGGTGCACCACCCATTTTAGAACCTACGTTTGTGGGGATTGGGATGTTCACTGGGGGTACGGTTTGGATTTTGACCCATGGCCACATAAGCTCGCCAAAGCAAACCATAGGGCCTTAGGGTTTTGCTACGTGCTTTTGTGGGAACCAAAAAGGGGGTGGACTGTTTGTACACACTTGTTTTGAGGGACCCGTTTCAAAACTGCTGGGTGAGGGGAGAGGTTTCTTGGTTCGTCATGCGTCCCAACGTCACACCTTGCGTTTGTCCACTGCGGGGTGGCTCTCAGAACGTAGCCCCTGTGGCAGGCGGCCGCCCCTGACCAGCTGTTTTGGAAGCAAGAAGGATGGTAGGGTCATTTGGCCGTACCGTTTTGGTATCCCATTTTGAAATAGGTGAATTCACCACTCATTTTAGAACCTATTTTAGTGGGGATTGGGATGTTCACTGGGCGTATGGGATTTTGACCCATGGCCATTTTCTCACTCCCTGCGAAGCTCAAGCTTACACAACCCGGGCCGGACTCTGCGATGTCGGCACATGATTCATGAACCCCCTCTGATTAAAGACGCCCGGATTTCCAGGCGACTGCACCCACAAGGTTTGGCCAAAAGAACCTCTAATTTTTCGGGGGGCACCTCCCAAAATCCCCTCTGATCAAAGACGTGATTTTCCGGCCCAAGTTGTTGCTTTAAAGAGCAATGTTTCCAAAGCTATTGCCACTATGTTTCCCATACTAGCTCCTTAAATAAACAAAAAAGGCTAGCCGGAAACGGCACATTTCTTACTACAGCTTTCTCAAAGAAAACAACCCAAGGTTTGACAAGCTCGTAAATCAAGGCTGGCCCCTGCCCCGCCCCTGCGCTTTAGGAATCAGGGTCGACTTCTGGAGCGGCGCTGCCCCGGAATCAGCGGAGTGTGGATGGCAAGGATGCCTCAAGCTCTTCCCATCCTTTAATCAAGGAGACCAAGCCAGAAAACCAGCCGGCCGACTTAGAACGCTACATATGAAAGTCGATTTGTTTTTCGAGGTTCGTTGATCCAACCTGCCCCGCTTCGGAAGTTTACGGCCCTCCGGATTCCGAAGTGAACGGTCGCCAAGTTGCCCTTCCGTTTGCGCCCAGGTTCCGGCACATCAAAGCTACGGTGAACTATCGGGAAGGCAGCGGGACCACCACTCCACATCCGGAGTACAAAGCTACGGTGAACTATCGGGAAGGCAGCGGGACCATCACTCCACATCCGGAGTAGGCAAGGGCGGCTCGGCTGGCAGGGGTGTCTTGAATTCTCGTCGCCCCTTCCCATTTGGAGACACACCTGAGCCGCAATCAAAACCCGGGTACATGAAGGTTGGAAAGGGACCATCCCAACCATAAATAGCTACGGCCGCCTTCTTAATTCCTTCCATGGTTCTGGGTAATTAGACCATTTTAGTACCGGGTTTTGATTGTGACTCTGTCCAAATCTAGCTAACTATAAATTTTCTCTTTGGCTCCTCGTGCTTGTGAAACCAGGGAGTCGATTGCACCCATCTCAGCGTTCTGTTCTGCCGCTTGGCAGTGGGATCAATTTCCCCTTCACCCGGCATGTTAACGCTAAGCATGGAAGTTTCTGACAGCCCTCCAGAGGGTCTCCAAAAGCAACCCGGAGTATGCTTGAAGGGGTGCAGCTCTTGCCAAAGTTGCTTCAAATGTCAGTTGCTTCGGACGCAGCATTGGAATGCTGAAATTTAATGCCTACTGGACAAGACCAACGCCTTTGCTTTGAGGGTACCTTTTGTTGGGTTGCTTCAAGGAAAAAGCAAAGTTGACCACAAATTGTCAGGAGGTCCACCATTGTGAGACATGCAAGTGATCAGACAGCTTTGAGCAAGGTTCTGCAGCGCAACCACGTTCAATTCATGAACGGTTTCCGTGATTGCTAGCTGCTATATCCTTGTCTTGGACAAATGCCTGGCGTTAGCAGCTCTCCAAGAGCGGGTGTGCGCACGGGCCGGGCGCCAGGAAGGCGTGCCCGGAAATACTTGAGTTTTCGAATGACATTGACAGCACTCTTGGCTGCAGTGTGGCGGTCTCGTTTCTTATGTTTGGAACCACTGTTGGAACACCAGAAGCGAGGGAAGCACAATCATAGCGAGGGATTCAGGGGAACCTGGGCGTGCGCTTCACAGTATTTCCTTGCCCGCAGAAATTCAGCGTTAGCTTCTGCGAACAGCCACCGATCCTTGAAGTGAACGAGTGCATACGAACATGTGGAAAACATCGAACAATCTTGAGCGCAGGTCATGTAAATGGCCATTTTGCCGCGAGCCAGCAAGCCAAGGTTCACCAGCCATTTGTTTGCGTGCTCATTTGTTGGGCAAAGACACATGCTGTTCTTCAACTCTCTTCCGTATCTATTTTCTTGATCCCTGAGGCAAACAGGCTACTGGTACTGGGAGTGTTGCCATTCATGCATGTAACACCCTGAATCCAAATTGTCCCGCTACGGGCAGGGTGAAGCTAGGCTGTTCATTTGTTTCCATTCGTTCACGCCCAACTCCCGATGGAGCTCATCAACTCCAGAACTTCAGGGATCGAACCTCCCAGTCCTGCGCTGCAGCTTGCTGTGCCTGGAGTCTCCATGACCCTTTAAAAATGGGTCAATGACCCCATTATGTCGACCCCGTATTTCAAGGGTCATGGAGACTCCAGGTGGCAAGCGTGAAGAAGCTATTTGCCCACGAGGATCCTGATACTGTGGGTGGACAAAATCCATTTCGCACCACCTAAGAAACCCTGGAATGATGATTCCGCCGTAAATACCAACAAACAATGGTTTCCCCGTGGTGCAGGATTTCGCCCATCCACAGTAGTTCCGCGTAGGACGCATAACCTGTGTGAGGAGTCCAAGAGGCCAAGAGGTGTCTTGGAAAGTGGATTTGCAAAGAGCTTGTCTCACTGACAAAAGATCCCGGGGTCACGAGAGACGTTTTTTTATGGTGTGAACCAGCTGCAAATTCATGAGAGGGCTGGACTGATTGTTTTGCAGGCAAATCGGAAGAGCAGGGAGATGTCGCAGGCGACTATGGTTTCTCTCTCATGGTCAAAGTGGTACCAGTGATCTACCAGCAACTCGCAAGTCTGCGATTGCAGTTCCCAAACCGCGCATTGATTGGGCAAATTGCGATGAACTCAGCTCATAACTCGAGCTTAACCATGAAGGAGGGGTTTCTTCATGTCCGGTCTGGCAAAATCGCACTTTGCCCGTTTGGCCAAATCGCTCCCAGTGAACTGGGGTTGCTGCGTCCGGCCTTCGTCGGAGTTTACCCAGCCAGACCGCGCAGGAAAAAGTCCGGTCCGCTCCCTTGCACCAAGTGGGCAATAAAAATTAATTAGGTTGCATGGGAGAGAGGAACACGAAGGGTGTATGTTGGAGATGTGTTAGCGGTGTGGCGGTGTAGCGCCTCATTCACACGTTCGGACAACAGGCCCTCCTTTGAGACAGCACAGGGCAAAGCTCTGGCTGTGAGCATCGCATGGTACCCTGAGCACCAGTAACAAGGTGTACAAAAGGAATCCGAGTTCAACCATCCTTGGGCAGGACAAACTACGTGTTTTTTTTGGGGGGGAGGGTACCTTTTTGGTGGTTGGTTAAAACGAACCCAATAGGAAACCACCTTTTCGGGGGGGCCGCGCCTATTTCGAGGTCTCACAAGCCCAAGCTTGACCCTCCAAAAACCATGCAAACCAAGGAGGTCTCCTTGAGGGAAAGCTGTCTTTGGTGCATTTTGCTTGGATGTTAGGACTTTAGCCTTTTGTACAACGAATGGATTTTCCATTAAACCACTAAAAGTTGAACTTTTAGCAGGGGAGCAACAAAAAAGCAACCGAGTTGTCTAACGAGCAGTCCGTGAGATTCCATGTTCAGGTTTCCGGCTTCAGTTCTGACAAGAGGTAAGCAAATGTGCCACTTTGTTCCCGCCAACGATCATCTTAGGGGATTAAAACAGTTTCACCAATGTGTTTGTTTGTTTAAGCAAGCAACTGGGGTTAAACAAATTCACGGATGCTTTTGTTGTTGTTGAAACAACAAACACTTATTTTGAGATTCATTGCTTCCTCCCAAGGGGACATTCCCCGTTGCTAAAGTGACTCTCTTGAGGCGAGCCAAGTGCCTGCGGGGGCCCAAAGTGCAGCCGAGATGTTACCTGGACCCCTAAACTGCTCATAATTTGGGGCACCTACCCTTTTTTTAGGGTTAATTCTGAGGATCCGGGTAATTCATAATTCAGTGACCTGGGTAATAATCGCTAAGCTCCAAAAAGGACTAGACGCCATTTAACCACAAGGAACTTAAACGGAGTTTAGCTTCTGAGGCTGACTACTGAAGTCGGCAGAGCACCCAAGTATCCCTCGCACAGGGCCTTGGCCTAGGCATGGCTGGGCAATACCCGGCCGAATAAAAACGATATTGGCGCCACGATGTGAGTGGGACTGCAAAACAATGGTTTGGCTCCCAGTCTAGAGCACGCAATGGAGCGTCCATGGCAACCTATGTTGCAAGGACAGGTTGCACCGCCGAAGCGAATCTACTCCCAAGAGCTTGGCCGAAGCGACATGTCCAATTGTGTTGGCGGCCCTTTCTGCGAGGCTTGACTCCTGGACTGGCTGCCCGATGCGTTTTGTTGTTTTTTCTATTTACGCCGTGGGGCGGACATCCCAACCGTCAGGAGATGGACAACCAGACCTTCACAAAGGTGTGAATAGCTGTTGGGACACGCTGTTGACAATCTTGCCGTTTGCTGCCCTTTCACACATAATAACACATCGCACTTTTTCCGCTACCAGTTTGAGCTGTCTTTGGAGGCTTTCCTTTCCCTAAGCTCTCGATGCGCGTGCTTAGGCAGTAGTGAACGTGCTGATCATCGTGGGGAAGGACGTGAGCCGCGGGCCAGTGAATGAAATGCCGAACCGTACTCTCCTGAAACTTGAGCGATCATGATCTTTGTCGAAAGGCCAGCATGCCGTTATGATAGACTATATTCGTGTACTCACATTGATGCTAATATGTCTATGAACGCCATCGTGTGAAATGCATGTAGCATCATCAATTTCTTCATCATCCCACTTGTCAGTCGACAGACATAGCTACAGATTGGCTATGAGGCTTTAAATAAAGTGACTCTGACTTGTCAGCCTATTAAGATGGCCATGCCCCTTTGGTGAATGGGCAGAAGTATCCAAATCCATGGTCAGAACGCCAGGTTTTCAGATAATCAGCAGGTAATTTGCACAAAAAGCGGGGATGGTAGGGGATAGGATGGTCATCAAAGCATCAACCAAATTAATAAAAATTGTAGGACATGCCAGTAAGGGTACCAAGGATACCCATAAAACATATGCCTCACCCACAAAGCTTTTGCGCTGCTTCTGAGTTTTGTTTTAGGGTCGGTCTGGGCGTTTGGGGTGTTTGGTGTAGGAGACGGATTGCGGCTTCGGTTGCAGGTATCGGGGTGTGGCTGTGGTGGGTTTTGCTTTCCGGGTTTTTATGGTATTTGAAGGTTTGTGGTTTAGGGGTCCTTGAAGGTTTAGAGAATGGTCGCTTCTAAACTGCAGGCAACACGCAATTACGTGTTGGCCTCAAGGGCGGCATGGCCGTGGACCCCAGAAGGCGTTTTGCCGATGGCACACAAGATAACGCTGGGTTGTTCGAAGCAATGCAGCAATGCTCAACTATCACTTCTTCCTATTTACAAACGGACCCCAAATAACAAAACCCTCCAGCCGACCAAACAAATTGCCGATACTGATTTTAACTTCCCCAATCCTAAACCAATACTACACTTTCTAGAAGCCAGATGAACTCAGTCAAGCTCCTCAGATGTGCTTATTAGGGGCCACCCTAGCAATCATCAATAGGGCTGCCTTGCATGAGCGATTTGTATTGTTAGGGTCTCCATTACGTTAACTTCACAAGATCCTGCTCAAAAGTTTTATTCTGATTGCTTTTGCTCTCAAACCCAAGATCAGGTTCCCTTCAGAAGGTCTTGCTGTCTTACTAAAAGGTGTATTCTGAGCGGTCCCTTCCCTTCAACAGTTATGACTCAAAGTCAAAGGTTGAGTTTTGAACCCTTGTTTGCTCATCAAATGGGGTCCCCTTTTTTCCAGTTTGAATCCAATACTAAACAACGCAGCCTGAAACTCTGGCCCAAAACCGGGGGACCCTAAAAATCAAAACCCGCCGAGGTGTTTTTGGCCTAGGGAGGGGGGGCGGTTTATTCTTGAGACCGGATTGCTCGTTTTTCCTCGTAGGGAAGTCCCATTGTGGATGACGGATTAGGACTAGGGATCATCCCCCATTTTTGAACAACCCGGTTCTCATGGTGTGAAAGTGAAATCCCAGGATGACATCCCGATCTACGAAGCTGACCTGAGCACTGAGGGAATCCGGGAGGACCAGTTGGAACATTGGCAATCGGGGTGGGGAGAGTGCGCGAGCATGTTTTAATGGTTTTTCGTTTGACTTCCAGAAGGTCGGAAGGGTTTCAATATTGCTCGGAAGCATCCTCGTGGAAGGCAACCGCGGGACCTTTGTGAAACAATGGTGGTTGACTTTTGCGGCATGGCCTGATCCTAGGTCGCGAGTACCTGCGGGAATGTGGGAAACTACAAATTCGACAATGACAAGTTAGTTTATGATGTTACTTACACTCGCCATTAATTCCCCCCAGACAAAAGCAGAATGTGCCGTTTTTCGCCGGTGGAATGCTCGCTGAATTGTCCCGCTGCCTGCGCACCGCCTTCAGAGCAACTTAGCATCGGCAACAGCCGCCGATTTCGATAAAGGTGCGGATGAATGACTTGCCGTGATAGTACTGCTGCTTTGAATGAGACCGAACGGGCGGGAGCGGCCTCATAGAACATGCTGACTTCATCAAGCTCCAAGGGTGCCTGGCGCGCACGATCTCTGCAACTCTGCCTTTTAGGGGTCTTCTTGTATTCCCTCCACCATTGCAGCATGGCATTTTCAAGGGCATTTGAAAGGGCTTTCCCATGGAGCACATGTTTGAGTGGGACAATGCCCCCTGCTTTGGGGGGTCTCTCCTATTCCGGCACGAACATTGTGAGCCTCGTGACCTTCTGTTTGATACGCATGACTTGATCTCGTTTCCAGGTGCTTGAGACCTCGGGACATGGATTCCTGGACTGTCGCAGTGTGAAGAATGGTGTTTGTTTTTAAATGGCCTTTTGTCGACCTTGCGGATCACTGGCGGATTTGGCAAATGCCAGGACAGCCCTCACCTGGATCAGTTCGTGATCCATTCGGCACTGGATATGGCTGGACGGCCAAGGGCATCGTGCCAAGACAAGAATCCGCCCCTTCGCATCTGTTTTGCTTATATTGTTCAAGATCAATCTTCAATTCGCTAAATTTGGACTCGTGCTGCCTGGCCCATGGTGGGCCTGCTTGTTTGAGTTGACCACAGTGTATCTTTGATCACTTAGGACGGATTAGGACCCCTCCCCCATTTGCGGCAGTGCAGTGTTGTAGGGTATTACATTTGCGGCAGGGACACCTTCTTGAAACCTGGGCCCTACTGTGGCAATTCTGCACCTGGTTGGTGGTTTGTCTCTAGGCGTTCATCCATCCCGCAGTTGTTATGTGAAGTGTTTGTCCATTCGCAGGCTCTATATCCAATGTGAAACCCATTTGGACCGGTCCGAGATGGCAGCGCCCAAGGGCTATTTTGGCGTAGGGACTCGAGACGAACCCCAAGAACCTTCGGGCGAGTCCCCAACACGTGTTTGGGATGTCTTTGAACTGAGCTCGCATGTTTAGGTTCACGCAATTCATGGACTATCCGGAGTCTCCATGACCCTTTAAAAATGGGTCAATGACCCCATTTTCAAGGGTCATGGAGACTCCAGGTAGAATCAATCATGTTCTTTTTGGTTGGGGGCAAAAGCCGAGGTAGATCTGAGCAACGAAGTTTTGGCCATATTGGATTCATAGATGGCTGCTTCCTGAGGTAGCAGTGGTATGGTCACTTGCGTATTTTTGCTGCATTCACTTCAAATACCACCCGTCAAGGGTTTAATTGCCATTTAGAGGCATCTATGTGTTCCAACAGGCAACCAAAGGTTGGTAAATGATGTGTTGCATGGGTGGACAGTATGGTGATGCTTGTTGGGTATCCTTTTAAAAGAGGGTCACAAGCCGGCAGACAGGGCCCTGTTTGCCACCAGGGACTCGACCCTTTGGAAGTCTTGCCCCTGAGGAACATCCGGCAAGCACCCAAGGAAATCAGCGACTGAGAATTCTAGAGGCCTACATGACCATTCGATTGCCATGCAACCATCTTAGGCCTGTTAGAACTCTTTTCTTGGGATCGTCCCGACCCAAATCGCTTGGGCCCTTGTGGGTCCTTTTGAATGGACCCAAATGACAATGGCCATGGACTTTCATGCGAAACATTCCAAACATGTTGTTCTCGTCCGCAATGAAAATTCATTCCCGATGGGCCGATGGGACACCTTGTTCGTTTGTTCACCAGCCGAACCTCAGGTGGATGATATGGCCTGGACCACGTCCTCCATGTTCCTCCGTAACGTGGACAAGCCTCGCGCTGAGCTTTCCGCAGTGCTGGGGCAGAATGTCAGGTAGAACTTGGTTGGTGGTTTGGATTGGCGGCTTGCGGATTTGAACCCCTGGCTTTTGTAGAGGGTTCATGGGAAGCCCATCCTTACCAAACCACCAATCCAAACCACCCTGAGAATTTTTCGATGGGGCACTCTTCCAGACTCATTTTGCTCGGCTTCCTCTATAGACATGGGTACAAATGATTCCAGACATGTTCCCTGTGGGCTGAGGTTCAGTCCCCGGTTTCGAGACACCCAAAGCACTCCGCCGGATCCGATCGCGACCTCCCCCCACCCCCAAACAGTCGTACCTGGAGTCTCCATGACCCTTTAAAAATGGGTCATGACCCCATTATTTTGGGTAATGACCAACCATTTTTTAAGGGTCATGGCGAGTCCAGGTATATGTTAGTCTAAGCGCAAGACTTCTGTACCAAAACAGACTCTTGCCTTTTGGGCAACTTATGATATCGGCGACCGAGCGACCTCGCCCATAGAGTGGCTGCCGCGTGCAGGTTCAACGACTTCCACGTCTCCGCCTACTGCACTGCTGGCCGAGCTCGGGGCTTACGGCAGGGGCGCAGGTTGACCATGTAAGTCGCAATCAGAACCCGGGTAGATCAAGTGTTAGTATCTGATAGTCCCTACCATGAAAGGGTCTAGCCGCCTCTTTCCTTCTGTACATGGCAGTGAATTTTTTTGAGGGGTCTGTAACAGAGCCGCGGCGGACATTCGTTACAGACCTCGTTACAGACCTCTGCAACAAGGCCAGCTGGCTCGTTACACACCCCTCGTTACACACCCCTTGTGACACACCCTCGTTACACACCCTCGTTACACACCTCAGATGAACAAACCGGGCCAGTGACATGATTGCGTTGAATAGCTGCAATCAAGCTGGAGCTGCGGAGGCGCTTTGCAAACTGTGCTTGCTTTGCCTCGTTACAGACCTCGTTACATAGCTAGTCACATACCTCGTTACAGACCCAACCCCAGCGCGGGCAAGCGACCCTGCTTTTTGCCGCTTGGCTTGCGTTGAATAGAGCTGCGGAGGCGTGCTTTGCGTGCTGCGCTTTGCTTTGCCTCGTTACAGACCTCGTTACATAGCCATTACATACCTCGTTGCAGACCTAACCGTAGCCCAGGCCAGCTTCGCTATGCCTCGCTACAGACCTCGTTACATAGCCGTTACATACCTCGTTACAGACCCAACCCCAGCCCGGGCCAGTGACCCTGCTTTTCGCCGCAGCTTCGCGCTTTGCGTCCTGCGCTTTGCTTTGCCTCATTACAGACCTCGTTACATAGCCATTACAAACCTAGTCGTGCTGCGCTACATTGTGCTACTGATACTGCTTGTCAGGAAATGTTTGTCCCGTTACAGACCTGCGTAACAAGGACCTCCGTTACAGACCTCCGTAACAAGATTCGTGGCGCGTCGCGCGTTACAGACCCCTAAAAAAATCATAGCCACATGGTTCTGGGTGCACCGATGCCAGGTTTAGATTATGATTCATGTGAAGTTCGGTTAGGCATCCGGTAGATCGAAGTAACGTTTGGAAGGGACCCCCTACTTCTTTGTTCTAACTTTGGGTGGGGCTGTTTACTGTAAGTTTACTGTGTGCTTTACGGTCCCACATTTGGGCCCCCAAGATTGAGCTGTGATTGTCAGATCTCTTGGACAAAAGGAGAGCGGGACCACTTGGCTGTGAGTGCCGCAGGATTAGGGCCATTTCTGGGGTCAATAGGCAGATGACATATTTGCATATGGGTATGTCTTTTTGCAGGAGGCGGCTTTCAAGGGAAACCAAAAGGACAGGCACTTCACAGGCACTTCTTGTTTTTTTTTGTTCCTTCTTTGTTTTGGGGGGATTTCACCTATTTTGACATATACCCATATCATGTCTGACGTCCTTGTTTGCGTCTTGCGGATGTGGGCCTGAGATGCCCGGACTGAATCGGACACCCTCGTTTTAAGAGGCGGGCTTGCCCAGAATACACATGCGGGTGGTCCCAGTCCATGTTGAAACACTCACGTGAGCAGTGTGCATGATTCCTACTTTTGTTGGCTGCCTGCCGTTTCAATTGCTCTGAAAGGGTTCTCCTGGGTGCACAGTGGTCATGGCCGTGAACTGTCGTGAATATTCTGGCGAGAATAAATCAACCTCGTAGACGGGCTCCGCTTGCAACCGGCCTCACCCACAATGAAGCCTCCTTGCTTGGGGGGGGGTGGTGAGTAATCATTCATTTGCCCAGAAATATGCCAGCCTGCAAGCTGATGTCTTGACTTGGTTTGTCTGACTTCTGCCATCGCATGGACGTGTGTCTTTCGACCTCCGTCAGGTCCGCATGATGCTGCTGCACAAGCCTGGCCCTCGGAAGGAAGATACTTTGTATCGTCTGGTCAGGTACATGGGTTGAAACCCAGGGACAGCTCAACTAGGTTTTCCAGTAGTGCAACCTTTCTCACCCCTTATTTTGGTTGGGAGGGTTCCCCTGCTAAAATAGGCCACGGAGAAAAGGATACCCTTCATCTAACCTCTCCACTAGAGGACAAAATCAAATGCATGCCAATCCCAGTGAGATGAATTCCCTGGAAACTAAGAAACGAAGTGACTGGTTACCTGCTATACTGGTGACTTCTGAAACTGGTGATCCCGCCCTTTCAGATGCTCGCGCCTGAAACCCAGCCTTGCCACTACGCGAGGTTTTGCGCGTGTCACAGTGGCAACAGTGTACCTGGAGTCTCCATGACCCTTGAAAAATGGGTCCATGCCCCCAATATTTAAAGGGTCATGGAGACTCCAGGTAGGCTTTTCTCCATATGGATTGGACCCTTTTACCGCTTTTACACCAAAGCGGCCGCCCTGAAGTGGTGGCTGGTAACGTGTTTGGGGGTTGTTTCTACTGTTGCTTTTTCTTTCAAACCAACCCAAAAAGGGCTGACACAAAGCTGTTTAAACCTGGAGTCTCCATGACCCTTTAAGAATGGTTGATCATCACCCAAAATAATTGGGTCATGGACTCATTTTTCAAGGGTCATGGAGACTCCAGGTAAACATGTTTGTTCTTTAAAACCAACCCAAAAAGGGCTGCCATAAACATGTTTAAACAATCAAACCCATGTGTTTCTGCGCGCAGGCACAGAAACGAGGAAGCCATTCGCGCCTTCTTCGCAGACCTACACGAACTCTTCATCAAGGCCATGATGAGCGCGCAGCCCAAAGCGCCAGCGATCAAGAGGTGGGTGTGTCTTCCGCCTTTTTGGGCGGAACACCTTTTTGTGAGGTTCGTCTGAATTGGTGGTTTTCATTGGTGATTGTGGGATCTGAGCCCCTCCTTCTTGTAGAAAGCAAATGGAAACCGCTCTTTAAGCTCCAAACCAACTGTTGGGGGGTAGGCTCACTGTTGGTTGTACGGGAAGACCAAAAGGAAAGACACCATTTTGAGGGTCGCCTTGTTTTTTTTGCCACCATGTTTCGAAAGGTACAAGTAATGGCTCTTTTCTTACAGGGGACACCTTTTGGAGGTTTTGTTGGGCAGGGAAGCCGAACGGAAGCCGGCCACTGTTGGCTCTCAAGATATGGGACGACTCCCGAATCTCTCAAGCCAGCCTTTTGCTCCTTTTTTCCGAGTCGTGTGTTGGTTGTTTGTTTGTTGGGATCAGTTTTGGCTCGGCTGTTCCGTGGCAACCCAACAGTGGCCAGGTACTTCTGAAAGTGCCAAACTTTGAGTTTGGAGTTGTGGGACTCAACATCGGGAGGAAACTGGCCATGACACACTGCCAAGTCGAATGTCGTGTCTGTTTTCCCTCATCGTTGCACGAGAGCTGAGGATACTTTAATTGAAGGCAAAAGCCTAATTAAAGTTGAAGCCATTTAGTACGAATTGTTCGAATGACTGCTCGTAGAGTTGCCTTGTGTGACACATGAGATTGTTTATGACCCCAACGCCTTGCTTTTCCCATGTCAAAAGCCCAGGGCTGCCCAAGAATCCACGAGGGGGGGGGGTGGTTGATGTGCGTGCGGTTTTGCAGGTCAATGGCCTTCGCCACTTGCAGGGCCTTACCATACTGTGGATGGTTGCGAAATGCGTTTCGCACCACGAATTCAAGCCATGGTTGAAACCAAATCGTTTGTTGAATTGAATCAGTAAATCAGAAACCAGGGTTTCTGAACGCCACCATCCACAGCAGGAAAGTATCACAGAAGTAGAGACCAGCGGATCCATCTAGCAGGTAACCAAGTGCTTGCCAACCAAAAGCACTGTGGATTTGTCTTGTTGCTTTTCTCAGACACGGAGGCCATCCCCAGCGCATGCAAGCTAAGGTCCTTTCCAGACCCCTGGTGCGCGGATTCATTCCCCGGTCTTTGACCAGAAGGCCGGGGAAGTCGGTGAGTTTGAAGGGAAATCGAAAGGAACGTCTCCATTTGTTGGAGTAACCCTATTTTGACATGCCTTTGGAGTAATCCTATTTTGACGTACCTTTGGAGCAACCCTAAATTGACATACCCAAATGGCTTGTTCATAGGCCCTCACATGAGGGGCACTTCTACATCCTGTGCTTGGCGGAAAACTTGTTAACATTTTGTTTTGCGCATCATAGACCTTGAAGAAGTAATTAACCGCAAATCGAATGCTAGTCGATAGCTGCAGCACTTGGGAGAAAAGTGCGTCCTGACCCGCAGCCTACACCTGCTTGCTGTGAGAAAGGGCGAGTAGTTTGCTGGAATCAGGTGAAATGGGGTCCGGAGCGATTCGAAATTGGCATAAAGCAGTCGTCCGGGGGTGCTGGCGGGGGTGTCTTTTTGATGAAGGGCAAACCAGGGAGAAGCCTGAGTATCAGTATTCCCCAGCTCGGAGTATCCAATTTGGAGGCAAAACATCCCCAGCTTGAATGGAGTGGAAGGCGCTTGCGAAAGTGTCATTCCTCAGATCCATGACATTGACTTCTTTTTGAGAGAGTCGAGAGTCGGTGGTCCAGGACATTTCTTGGTGAATTATTTTTTTATATTCCTTCTCCGGGGTCTTCTCCATTTTTGCGCATGCCAATTATCCTGGACTGAATACAGAACATCTGAAGATGTGTCATTTTGCGTGTACCCCGATTTTTTGGTGGGCCAATGAGGTTTGCTTCGTTTCCGTTCTCTTGTCACCAGCCCGGCTTTCGCGCTTAGCCGCGCGCCAGGTACGAGCGGCTGGACAAAGGCAGGGTCAAAATGGGGGGCGGTTGCCCTGGTGGAATGCAGTTGCTCAGGCACGGGTGGCCCCTTTTTTGGTGGTTGCAAAGGAAAGCCAAAAGGAAAACCACCAGTTTGGGGGCTCCCCTAAAGAAAGACCCACCCAAACACCTTTGCCGGTGTCTTTTAGCAGCATGTGTCTTTTGTTTGGCAGGTTTTAAGCAAGACATGTTGGGCCTATTTCTAGAGTTTTCTTCTTATACGGCGATGTGAGGGGGAATATGGCATGACAAAAACCCACCAGCAAAGCTTTGCTTTCTTTACGTGAAAGCCGGGCAGCAATGCATCAACTTACCTTAACTCAGCAAGGAATGCAGGTTCTTCTCAGGACCTTAGGTTTATGGCGTCCAAGGAATGAAGCTCACCCAAGGCACTAGTACTGATGGTGAATGATTCAATGGAGGATCTCTTTAGATTCAAGTACTTTGTTTGCAGAATCCTGAAATCCTTGGTCTGGTTGATTGGATGACTGTGGCACTACAAGCCCTCGAAAGGTCAGAGATGGTACATCCGGGTTCCCATCACTCGTTCCCTTGTTCCCCCGTATCTGCCAACTTACAAGCTCTGTGACGGAAAACCATAAAGCACCGCTTTGGGCACTCTTCCAAGGGACAGGATGGTCAGGTTTCATGTTAGATCGGAGAGCAAGGGGAGCTTCCAAATACCCAAAGAGGCATCTTGGACTTTTTGTTGACAGGGTCCCAGTATTTGTAGTGGCACTCTTCAAATCCCATGATTTTGCCGGGTTCCGCACTTAAATTAGCCCAAAAAGCCATGGATCCATGTTCGTATCTCTCGGGACACCGGTTGCCACTTGGATTGCACCATTCTTTGCGTCAGCTGCGCGCGCCACGCGCTTGAGGCACTTCCGCGCTTGAGCGGAACCTCTGCCCGCTCACTTGCGCGGCCGAGCGTGCGCGCGTGAAAGCGTGAAAGAGAGCAACGAGGGTTCGGACGTCGACAGGGGTCATAGGGGGAGGTTCGAATGGGAAGGATTTACACGTCGATTACAGCAGCAGTGTTCATGATCCCTTTAAGCGATGGCGACACACCATTGCATTTTGCTGCTGGGTGGGGCCAGTAGGCAGTTGTGCAGCGCTTGTAGGATGCTGGTGCAGAAACAAAAGGAGGACGACCACTGACGCTTTTACACCGTGTCATTTCGCTGCTGGGTACTAGCAGAAGGGGATCCACATGACCGCCCCATCGTCGCAGTTTTTTTGCGGCGTAGCATGCTTGTGATAGAGTTGCGCAGGGCTTGCCAACAGGTTCGAATACAAGCAAAGCATACCACAATTATCCATCACCGTGAATCCCTTGCTTCCTCTATAGGGTATGGAACAGCTTGTCCAATGTAGCGTGGCTGTAGAAATTACGGACTCAGCGGTATCAAGGGAAGACAGGAACACAGGTTTCAGCATTGGTGGTCAGTCAGCTGTGGTGTTGCATGGTGGAATGCGAATTTGAAGGAGAGGGATGTTGCGAGCTTCTACACAGACCAATTGCTAACAAAAACAGGTTTCTTCTGTACTCCTTCATCAGGTAACATTGTTTATTGAATTCCAGTTGTCTAGTGGACCTGTTTGAAATCCCAGGTTTCTTGGTGGATTCCACGTTGAGAATGGAGAGATCTGTTTGGGTGCAAGGATTCTTCGGAAGGAGGTGGGTCGCTTGCTGCTTTGGCTCGGCTTGTCATGGCTTGCCAGCTTCGCACAGCTCCATTGGCAAACATCGCCAGCATGATGGTTTGGCCGCTGCACAGGTTCACACCGAAGCACGCCGAATTCACCGACGCACTCAGAAATGTGCAACCGCATTGACAGCACAGCGCTGGAACCCACAGGCTCGCGGCTTCGTTTCCGTGGAAGCGTCATCTGCGCTATGCCTGGCACACACGGGACCGGACCAATTGGCATGGCAGAGGTTGGGTCATGCCACGTGTGGAGCGAACACCGGTGGGAGAGGTGTTGAGCCTAGAGAAGCGGATTAGACCCCTTTAGCCTGAAAAGAGAAGTTCGCTTTACCCGCCGGAACTTGCGAAAGGGTCCTTTAAAAGGGAGATTCCTGCCATGTTGCCCCGAGTTCCATATGTAAATCTGTGTAACTTTGGCTTTGGGCCTTTGGGCCAGTGACCTTTTCTATCCTGGGTGAACGACTTGGGGTTTCTCTGGGTGAAAGGTCCCAATGCGCAGGACAGGCTGCGGCTGTGTCCATGAGGAGGATCTTACAGGCTCGGGGTTCGGGTTGCGGGCTGTCTCTGGAGCCGCTGAAATGGGCGGAAAGTGCCAATTTGGGTTTTCCTTTTTTTGCCAGACTTCGCTCGTTGCTTGCCTTTGTAACGGTTTGGCCTGTCTGGCCGTCCCGCATTGTTCCTTTCATGCAAAAAGTTTGACTCTTTGCAGGTTGGTCGGATCCGCTTTATCCGTTAACATAATTTTGATAACTATATACCTTACATATGCCTTACCCACGTGGAACCTCAGTCAGAGAGACAAATTCGCAGGAATCGGGGCAGGCTTTGCAGACGAGGGGCAGACTGGCGATCCTCCTTCCTGCTTGTTTTTGCGAAGAATAGACTTCCAAAATGAAAGAAGAACAGGTTGATGGTTCCACTTTGAGGGCAACATACAAGGAATTCATCTGCCCGATTGCAAAAGAACATATGGGATCAGCATTCCATACCTAAGTGAAGGTGTTTTGGGTGGATGGCCTTGAAGACACCGTCCCAAACTTAGTCCATCTGGTTTTAACGCATGGTTTCGCCCTTAAAACGGTGGATGTTCCTTCCAAATTGAGGCCCCGGATTCGCTTTAGGTTTCTCTTTGAAACATCCCGAGCAGGCGCTGTCCAACTCAAAGAAAGACACACACACACACACACACACCTCCCCAGTTTCTGGACTTCGTTCAGTTGGGCAGATCATTGAAGTGTTAATCAACCAGTCCGAACCTTTTCTCACCTCGGAAGCGCCACACACACACACACACTCGCATACCCTCATAGATGCCCGATGCCGCATTTTATGTGCCAGGCCAACAACATCTTCTGCTTCCATGGATCGACGCGCGGCTTCCGCGCGAAATCCGATTTTGTGGATGGGCACCAGGCTTTTCTATGGGGACCTGAGGGACCACCAACAAGCATCGACTCAGGGAGTAAAAGGTGGGGGCCCACGAGTCAATCAAGGGAGGATTCACATGTGTTGAGGACCATTTTGAGGAAATAAGTAATATGAATGGTGAGTTTTGGCTAAACCCTTACGGCTCCGTGGCTCCTGTGATTGTGGCTTGATTTTTTGTTTTGAAGTACCCCACAACCCCATTCCAGTTATTCTGCAATTATGTCACCTGAAAGCAGCTTGCGGGCATGTCTCCCGTTTAGCCCCAATTGGCTCGTTTGAATCCTTTCTTGCCTGTGCCTCTTCCACTAGCAGGGCAGCTTCATGGTAGTGATCTTTTCGCCCATCATCTGAGTTGCATTTGGACTTGATGTCTTGTTTCTGCGTTGCGTAAATCGGATTATACAGCCTGTCTACCCCGCGGAAGACTGAGAAAGTGTTGCCACCAACAAATCGCGAGCAAGGTTTTAAGCAGGGGAGTGGGTCTACGACCAATCACCATTTCTGGCATTTGCTTGTGTCTTGGCAGTGTTGGTTCTTTTCGTTTTGGGCGAGGGCTGAGCATCATGTGCTTGTTGGCAGCATACCACAGTGCTTGATCCAAGGCACAGACGTGTTACATGACATGCTGTGCCCACTTGCCATGATACATTTCAACTATGCATCTATTTGTATCCACTTGATAGTGCCTGATTTGTGTGGATGGATACCCTGTACCTCCTTGATCTACTTCATGATAAACTTCATTTGCATGAATGCGGCACCTGGCGGCATGCGCATTGCACGACCCGTTTGTGGTACCTGCCACAGACCCACATTATGTGAACTGACAGTCTGTATGTTCTTGTTATGTGAACAGCCTGACATTATGTGAACCCAAAGGGATGTGCTTGTTCTTGCACACCGCAACATCTGAATGCCGCATGATGAGCTCTACATCATGGATTGTGACTTGGGGCCGAAGACCAGCCTCGATCTATTGTGTACATCTACCTTCTTCTCTTTTGCAGTCATCCACATGGCCATGGGCCAAAATCCCGTACCCACAGTGAACATCCCAATCCCCACTAAAATAGACTAAAATGGGTGGTGGCAAACATCATGCAGCAAATTCTGCTGTTCGCCTGCTGCTTTGTCGGACAAAACATTTTTTTTTATGTCCGGTGCACCTACCCCAAAATGGTACCATTGGTTTGGACCTACAGCCACATTGTTCCTTTAAACTACTTGTTGCAGGGTCGAAGGGTGAAGAGGAGCGGCAACCCGAATGCCAGGTGCCGGGCGTCATCGGCCTGAATGAGGAGGTGCATTCGGGCCTCCCGCTGATTCCGCGAGGTTTCAGATGGTTTGGATGTCCAACCCACTTGGCAAGTAGGTTGTAACCAGGGTTATAACTTGGCTGACTGGGGTTGGTCCCCATTATAACCATGGTCAAAAACCTCCTCGCTAAGTTGGTTGGACAAGTATTGGTTCTTGTTATTGATTTGTTACCAGAAAAGTGCTCGGTTGGAAGTGGACGCGATTGGGATAAGAGACACCACCTTGTGGCTTCATGACTTAAAGTTGGAATGCTGGCCCCACTCTTATAGGAAGTTCCTTCCCTCAGAACTCGGCCAAAGAATCTGGGATATGGGAATGTGTGAACATAGGCGGACCCACAAATTGCCTGTACTTGAGCTACCTATAATTGTGGTTGTTCTGGCGATTTCCCTTTTAAATTCACCTGAAGCAGGTATTCTCCAAAAAAGCACACATATCATTGATTCCTCACAAGAATGGGAGCTTTGCCTTTGAGGTGAAATCATTTGAGAGAGAGAGAGGGAGTCGGGGCCCTTGAAGACGACCGGATTCTTGTCTTTTTGGCAGCCGAGGGAGAAACTGGGGATTTTGTAGCGGGCACTATATCACTCTAAGTTACCGGAAGCCCGGCATGGCTTTACACCGCTTCACAGCCAGAGTTGCAATGCAAACGTGTCAGGGTTTCACTCTCAAGCCAAAGCAGCATGTCTCAAATTCTTGCATTCCCAAGACCGATCCCACACCTCATCCTTCTTTCTTTTTGTAGGACGTCGACAGACATCGTCAGCTTCCGCCGTTGTTTGGTGGTTTGGTTTGGTTTGGTGGTTTGGACATTGGGTGCTACCTTCGCCATTTGGAAACAACTGCGGTTCAACTCCCGAACCACCAATCCATATCACCAATGAAGGGGAAGATAGAATAGAGGCAACAGCTATCTTGGCATACCCAAGTTGCATGTATGCATCAACTTGTGCATATAAGGTATGTGTCCGCAGCGCGCCGTCGCGCTGTAAGGCAATGATGCAGCCACCCCATGCAGCTCCCTCTCAATCTGCGACATCGTTGTCGGTTGGGTTGGGCAAATCACGAACGACCTGTTGAAATTCCCTTTCAAGGCAGCTGAAAAATGAGAAACAGGGTCCCAAAAGACGTCCATGCCTACTTTTGACAATCGCCCATGCTTGAGCACACGTTGGACAGGATGCAAGAAAAACAGGGAACGCAACAAGGCAGCTCCCTTAATCTTGTCAAGGCCCCACTTTGCCAATCGCTCACGTTCAAGGATGGGTTGCCTTGTTCACCAGCTCCTGGAATTTCTTTGGCCGAGACTCAGGGAACCCAGAGAGGCCTTTCGAGTGCGGCGCGTGCAGGAATGTCTGCCTTGGAACGCACAGACACGCCAATGTTCAGACCCTGACTGCGTATGGTGCAAAGCAGAAATCTTCTGGCCTGGGATCCAACCGATTTTGCCCTCAGGCAGTTCAGGGTCGCCCCATCCTGAGCTTATCCTGGCGTAGAGCCTAGTGATACACCCCAACCCCATGGCCCCATGATTCTTGCTCTCAATTTTGATACACGCGACTCTATGGCTTGCCATCATAAAGACAAGGTTTTGACACACCCGCTTGTTCCGCATGCCGTCCCCTCGGTTCTCGGCCCAAGTCAGGTTTGGCCTGGGCTCCACTTGTCGCAGAGATGGGCCAAATTTTGAAGGCAGAAGCCGGAGATCTGTCGATGCAACTGGTTGAGCCACCTGAGCCAATTCGGCAAGGCCATGGCTTTCCGAACACCCGCAATCACTTTGCAAGCAACTTCTTCAGTCATTAAGTCTTACACATCAGCAAACAACGTGAGCTCGTGCAGCGTCCTTCGGCTGAAAAAACAATTAGAAAGCGAGATCAGTACAGCGATCGGTCGAAGCCACGAGCGACGAAAAGCGTCCGTCGGTTTTTCTTTGCTTTTGCCAACGTCCGGCTTCCATGGTCTTGGTGCCATGGGAATCGGCCGGCTTGCGGCAATTGGATTGCTCGCCTTGGCTTTCGCTTGCGAGAGGCGTGGATCCGATGTGCTGAATCCGACTGGATGGCAAGTGGGATCTCGTAAGCAAGATAAGGAACAGCTGAGGTAATTTGTTTGTTGTCTTTCTTGTGATGTTTGAGGTCGCCACAGAGATGAGCAAACAGCGTGGAAGGGTCCAAATTGGAGACTAACAGCCAGGGAGAGTACTTGATGCATTGCTGGGAAGCATGTCAACTGAACTATGGGGTTTGTGCTCAGCTGCCAAGGACGTGATTGTCCGGATGCGTGTGAGTGTGTGTGTGTGTGTCTCTAAATGTGGCATTCGAACAAATGGTTGGTGTTCTTCGGGCTTCCTTGGAACAGCCTCCAACTAAGCGGTCCACATTGGACACCCCCATATGGTGTGCGTGTTTGAGTGCGCAGCAGGGATGGAGATGGGTGCCTCTGGGTGGATTTGAGCGGCCCCCCCCCCAAAAAGAAACAAGTTTTCAAAACTGAAGGGCAGTTCGTCGTTTTAGCTTCGTACTTGAGGACCCCTGGAAAGGGCTCGTTCAATGAAGTCCCTGGGGCTTGCACTGATCCCTACGAGATATGGGTGTGTCTTAAAATCGCGGGCACCCCCCCGAAACAGTGTTGCACTGTGGTTTCCTCTTGATTTCCCTTCGAAACTCCCCTCCAAATAAAGACAAACTAATATGTAGTAGCTTCAGCAAGTGCCAAGCATTGTATCAATCGAGTTGCGGTCTTCAGCCGAATTTGCTTGAGCAGCTGTTAGCCCCTTTCGACTCTTTGGATAGACATGACTTTGCCAGCAACCCCACAAAAAGTTAAACAGTTAGACCGCTTGCTCAGGAGGGCTTGCAGCAACCCAGCTACTAGAATATCAAGTACCTGGACCCTCAAACTCCCCATAAAAATGGGACACCCCACATTTTTTTGAGAGTAGAACCCATTTTTCAGTTGGAATTTTGAGGTTTCGGGTACATGCAGCGGGATCTGTTTTCATAACGCGAAAAACCGGGCCCAAAGACCACGAGCTTTTGCCGCATCGCATCGGAGGCACTGCCCGGAGGGGCAGCACTGGTTTCCAGGCAGCGACTACTGTAGGCGCGGGGCTGAGCGTCGGATGCCATGCTTGATGCTAGATAGCCAAGTTGCTGTGTGTTTCGGTCACTGTTGCGATCGGTGTTTGGGGTAAAGTGCATGGAAGAAAACAGCAGCTGGCGATCCAGGTAGCTTCGGAACCACTTCGGAACCCCGAACTCAGGGGTCCAACAGCGACCTAAATTCAGCAGGTTGGGTCTGTGGATTAAAGAACCGCGGTTTTTTCCTGGTCCTATGTGCCCTCTGCAAGAAGCTTCAAATCCAAAGCACCAAAGCACCAAGGCACCACTTGGCACCGGTCCAAAGCTCTCCTCGCAGGTACGACCAGCCTGAGGAGACCTACTGCTCCTGCGGCACCCGCTTGGTCAACACCAGCTGCGTGCCCTGCGAGGGGTCAGGCGGATCGATCCGTCTACGAAGCGAATGCTTCAAAACATCCGGGACTCCTGTTATGGGTAAATACATTTATTGACTCCTGTTTGTGGGTTAACATATTCATTGTTCTGTCCTCCTGTTCTGGGTTGATTCATTGCTCTGTCAATAGTGCTGCTTTAGCATGTGTTTGGCGCGGGCCTGGTGACAGCTACGTAACGTGCCGCTTGATTCTGTTCACTTTGCTCTACGCTGGTTGCTGTTGATGGTTTTAAGTGGAATGACTAGGACCTGGAGGAATTGTTCATGAGGACTGTTCCAGAACAGAGAATGGGTATTGGATGGCTGAATGCGGATGCTGCATTCAGGTCTTTGGTCTGATTTCCCCGGTGATGACGTTTAAAGGCGTCGGATCCTTCCGCCGGCGACCAGCCATCGCTGGTTTTGGGGATCCTTGGCTCGGTTCCCCTGGGATTCAACTTTCGGAGCTTGCGGAATGAACGGCACGCATCCAAGAAGCAACTTGTAGGGATCCCTAGTAGAGGTTCATTAGTAGAGGTCCAAAGGGCGAGCATGAGCAACAATCAATGTTGGATGCCGTCTGCTCTGGTGAAGCCGATGACACTCACATCCAAGCTTCCGATAGTCGGATTGGGGAATGGAGGCTCACCATGATCCAGTGTCAGGGGGACACACTGAATATCGACTGTGGCTCGTGTCATTTTGTTTCTTCTACTTTCCGCAAAAGGATACCACAAGGGGATGGATGTTCTCACAGCCAGAGGCTTCCGAGTTCCAAGACATCGGAAGAAGAACCGGCACAGTGTCTTATTTGCTGAGGCTACCCTTTTCGTTTTCTTGGGGGGCTGCTTGAGTAAATCACCTGGCGACCCACCTCACAAGTGTCCAGAATCCCAGGGAAACCTCTAGAAAAGGGCCCAGTTCGCAAACAGGATTAAGGATCCAGGATTGCCATTGAACAGCCCAGAGAAACACCTCAAACATGGCGTCTTTCTTTTGTTTCCTACACAAATCTCCAACATCTTTGGGTGCCCCCTTAAAACACACAAAACAACGGTACCTGGACCCTCAAACTACCCATAAAATTGGGACACCCCACAAGTCAAACCCATTTTCAGGTTGGAATTTTGAGGCTTCAGGTACATTCAAAGAAGAAGATGACACGCCCGTCCGCGCTTTTTCTCGCTCACCCGGCGGCTTTCGCCCCTTTCGCCAGACCTGGACGCGCACCACGCCTCCGGCAGCTGCGAGCTGGGGGCGGCTCCCAGGCCCTTGCCTGGCCCGGTGACGCTGGTGCCTTCGGCAGAAGAGGGGTGAGAGCCTCGAGCGGCGCCCGTACTTGGTTTTTGAGCTTGTGGAACTGTTTAGAGCTTTGGACCCCAAAAAAGCGGCAAACAAGGAGTTGGAACTTCGGCCAGGCCGCCGAGGAGGTGAGCTCAATTAAGCAAAAAGACAGGATGACAGTAAATAAAGAGGAAGTCAGTGGATGTTGACGCGATCTTGGGATAAATTTCATCTGCTGGATTTTGATTGAGCTCTTGGTGGATTCCAGTTGGGTAGTTCAACGCTCGATTGAGCCCCTGGTAAATTTTGAGTCGAGCCCCTGTCCAAGTTGGCTGTTGCGCGGGTTGTTCAAATTCAAGCAAAATGGTAGCTGCCATGTACAACTCGTATATCCGATGATTTGGAGGATGCCAGTGTGAATCAGCTGGTTTTGAAGAGTTGTTGGGGAACCCAGGAAAAGGGCGGATTATCAATTGGCATGAACACCAATCCTTATTCTGCTTGGTAGGGGTGGTCACAGACCCTTTCATAGAGAATTTATGCAATCATTGCAATGATTCCTAATGCGGCAATGGCTTTGAGAGTTTGACTCTGCAGCATTTTCGCACACAAAGACAAACACGCAATGGACATGCTATCGCTGTTTGTCTCAAGATAGGGGACCCTAGCAATTGGTGGTTTTCCTCAAACACGCCAGGTTCTCCTCAAAACGCCGGCCCTTCGATTGTTGCCGTCCGAGCAAAATGAATCAGGAGTTGCATGGTTTGGTGGCCCAAAACCACGAGGACACGTGCAAGGCCATGTTGAGCCAAAACTGAGAACCCCTGATTTACTCATGGGGGCGGGGGGGGGGGGCGTGTCCCACCTAACACTTTGTCCCGGGCCAACATGATCTGAAGGCTCAAAGGAAAGAGTGTGTGTGTGTGTGTTGCTCCCCCTTTGTTGACCCCTTTCGATGTTACCTCCGGTTCCTTCGGAATCAATGAGGGAATCCTTGACAGAATCTCCCAGTGCTGTTTGGCCAAGGCAGCGGCTTAGATGAGGATTCACCACTTTGTTGTTGTTTGGAGATGCTGATTTTCTCAAAATGGGAAACTCCTACCACGGTTTGTTTGCTCCTCGTCGCAGTCAACCACCAGGAAGGGGTACTGCACCAGCCACAAAAGCGACAAGCCCAAACGTGCTTTAGACTTTGGCACACGTGGGGCTGTCCAAGTCATGTTTTAGTGTGCATCATTGCCTCCAGCCCACATAGCTTAGGCAACCGATGTGTTTGAGCTCCGATTCATGTCTGACGAATCTGGAGAGGACGCGGCGCAAAAAGGTATGTGTCAGCACCAGAGATCAGCCCTGTGCGGTACATGAATCTTCGAAGGGACACCTTTTATAGGGTGTCAATGGACTGAGCATAGAACCATTGTCACGTGGAGGGTGGGTTTGTCTTCCAGATCTACACTCTCTCCCACGAGGGCGCTTTGGTTTAACTGTCGAGGTCAGACTTGGGTTGTAGGTATAGATTCCCTGTTCTTCCAACCATCGTCCTTCTCAAATTCCAGCGGTTTATTTATCTTGAGATTTGGGTGAGTCTCTAGAAAGAAAGGGATCCTTACAAAGAAAATGGAAAGAAGTCTCGAGTTGTTGCCGGTTTCTGCAATGTTGGAGGAACTTCTTATCGCAATCCCCCCCTCTTTACACGTCCTATCGTGCCGGTTTGTTTCACTTGTTTCCTTCAGCATTACCAGGTAAACCATGCGAAAACAAAGGCTGGTGGCAGCTGACTTTACACAATAGAAACAGCATTGCGTAGCATGCTCGAACCTGGGGTCTCCTCCAAAAAGTATTTTTCAACAGGGGGTGGACTAAATGATTTGAAACAGAGTCTGAGCATATTATGGTTCGTGCACTCCGGATGTTTGCCTTGAAACTCATCTATCCAAATTCCGTAATACAGCCACCCGATCAAGATAGGAGGAGCTTACAAACATGTGGTTTTGCTGGCCGTTTCCCTTTGAACCATTCTGAACATGGTACCTTGGTACCTTCAAACAGATACGAGCCCGCATTGGGTTCTTGTGCTCGAGCTGCTCGCAGGATCTCCTGACTGTCACGAGCACTGGCAGGAGTCTTTTGGATGCCGGGTATTCCTTCAGGCCGCCTGGCTGTTCGCATTCTCAGACTTACCTCTTGATGTTTGTCTTTTTGGGTTTCTCCATGTTGCCTTTCAACCAGCTAGTGATCTTGCTGGAGTCTAAGTCTAAATCTGGCCTAGTTCGGATGCCCCTGGTTCTTTGCAGCGGCACGGCGCGTGCGCGCGCTGTTTCGCGCTGTGTGGCTTTGATTTCTGGGGCACACCCTCCGAAATGGAAAGTGGATGCACAAGAGTATGTGTAACAGCAGTGGGGCCCAAAGACTATGGTTTTCCTCTAAACCAGGGTGAGCAGGCTACCCTCGAAAAGATACACACAAACACAAACACACACGTTAAACAACACAAATCCATGTTCAATGAAGGACTCCTAATGTAAGATCATGCCCATGTTAAGTCATAGCAAGGCAAAATGGGAATACCTCATCGCCTTTTCCTTCTCCATGTACTGCATTGTGCAACAGATCAATATCGGTGAGTCTCAAACTAGAAGTCCCTTGTGCATGGTTTTAATGGGCAGGGGTCTGAATTTCGGGAAATCCTACTCGATTCGACAAGCGAACACCCTGCTTGGTGTCAGTCAAGTCACTGTTTGACAAGGCTTCTGCCAGAGGAGGGGGGTTCAGATCAAGATCCCAGCCCAATTGTGTCCTTTGAGGATACCCGGCTGACAAGGAAGCCGAAAAGGAAAAGAACCTCCTGTACAAATCAAGACATCAAGACATGCTGCATATGGGGAGTGAAATCAATTGCTCGTTGCTGTAAGTGTGATGTATTCACTTTTGGGCACGTAGAAGCTTCACAGTCCGATACTCACAGATTGGCAAGGGACAGCATGATTCCTAGCCAAGAGGCGCCATTTGTTGCTCCAGGCCTGCTGGAATCTATTTCTTAGACAGTGGACAATCACATCAAGCATAAGCTGTTTGCACCAAACAGATCGAACCTTGATACGAGCTGCACGGCCTTTTTGAATACCTTCGAAACACAAGGCTGACCTTGTCCAGCTCATCGATGACAACGCCATGTTGGCAGGTACTTGGCAGCCTTTCCCTTGTGAACTGATAGCAGATAGCAGCAGCCACCGAGGTTTTCTTTTACTCAGCCCGGCGCCGTCCGAAGCTTTGCTCGGAACGTGACCTACCAAGGCGGGCGGAGCATGGAAATTGAAGCCCGGTCGAACGCTGACATAGTGTCGCCTAGCGTAAATGGAGCTGGTCGTGATTCATATGAGCTACATTTGCTTCAGCTAGTGTTGGATCTTTAGAGCTGACACTTTTCAAGATGGGTCCTACCCCCTGCTGACTGACAGGCTGACTGACTGACTCACCCACCCACCCACCCACCCACCCACCCACTCACTCACTCACTCACGCACTCACTCACTCACTCACTCACTCACTGCCCCACTCACTCACTGCCTCACTCACTCACTCACTCACTCACTCACTCACTCACTCACTCACTCACTCACTCACTCACTCACTCACTCACTCACACTCACTCACTCACTCACTCACTCACTCACTCACTCACTCACTCACTCACTCACTCACTCACTGCCCCACTCACTCACTCACTCACTCACTCACTCACCCACTCACTCACTCACTCACTCACTCACACTCACTCACTCACTCACTCACTCACTCACTCACTCGCTCGCTCACTCACTCACTCACTCACTGCCTCACTCACTCACTCACTCGCTCACTCACCCACTCACTCACTCACTGGCTCACTCACTGGCTCACTCACTCACTCACTCACTCACTCACTCACTCTCTCTCTCTCTCTCTCTCTCTCTTTCTCTCTTTCTGTCTCTCTCACTCTCTCACACTCTCACACCCACGCCCAACGCACCTACTCATTAACGTCATGAGCATCTAGAACAGAATCCGTTTTGCTTGGATCTTATGACACAACAACATGAACAAACACATTGTTTGTTACTTCTTGTTTGAGGGCAGAGCAACAGAGGTAGGTGATGGGGGGGGTCACAAATACTTATATATATATATGTATATGTACAACAAAAAGCACATACACAAACACACGCAGACACATACTCAGAAAGAACAAGCGGACACACACACACACACAAACACACAAACACACAAACACACAAACACACAAGGGTGCAGAGACACAAGCACACAGATCAACACCCATGTATGCGAAGCCCCGCTGCATGGATGCATTTGTCTTGTGACCTGGATTCCGGCGGTTTGATCCATTCGGGCCACACGGTTTCGGATCTTGGACCCTGTGAGGCAACCAATTCCTGACCGTGGCCTCAGGGGATCACGAGGTGACTTTCCAAGTGACCTCAACCGACGGATATATCAAGCTGGCCGTGGAGTCTGCGCGAGGCGCCTCGCCATTTTGGGGAGGAAGGGTGCAACAAATTGAGGGTGTGTCCAGGAAGCAAGCTTGGTCACATGAGATGCCTATGTTTCATGGTCAAAGCACGATGTTACTTGGTTGAACTCAGACCACCACGATAAGGACTTCAATGAATCATGACCATGCCCGAGTTTTGACGGCGGCATGTAGATGTACAAGTGACTAGTGAACTCAATGAACACTGTACCTAGATGTCATTGTGGACTGTCTTCCTAGTCATTCTGCTGTAGCCTAATCCTCATGCGTTTCGGTCGAAGCGTGTGGCATTTGGTGTGATCATGTCCGCCCAGCGATCTTGCGCTTTCTATATTTGATAATGTGGGCAAATTGTCGTGACCTCCCGAATGTTCTTGTTCATGGCCTTAGCCATGAGAATTCCCTCGTTCTGCGCGTAGTAATTTATTGGAATTCGCCCCGCACCTAGGGACGAGGCACCTTTGCACTGGGACGTCCCTTTCGGCGCATCCAGGTTCAGTTGCCAGCGACCAGTCCAGGTCAATATCCAAGCAAAACTCCCGATCCGCAGTGGTGCCCATGTTTCTTTTTTCTTGTTTTTTTCCTTTGAAAGCGGCTACCGAAGACAGGCGTCTGGGATAGCATGGCCCCAGCATCCATGTCTCTCTTTTGCAGCCGCTCAATGGCAGAATTCGAAGATTGTTCAGCAAACGGAAGCCTCAAAGCTGGTCCGATTCAAAGTGAGTTTCTGTTTGGGCCAGTGTCAAAAGTACCAACCAACGCAGGTGTTATATTTTTACTCTTTTTGATATTTTTGATTTTCTTCTTTGCAACAATCTCCCAAAAAGTGTTAGGCTTCCGGCATTGCCTGTTGCGAAGCAAGGCTTCTCGGCGAGCTTTTGGGACGAGGTGGACTTGGAGTTGGAGATACTTGCTCAAGGGTCAGCTGCTACGGCGAAAACAAGAGAGAGACTCGCTGGCTGCAGTGTGTGTGTGTGGGGTGCACGCGTGCGTGCGTGCGTGCGTGCGTGCGTGCGTGCGTGCGTGCGTGCGTGTGATTGATGGGTGCCAGACAGCCAATCTGCTTTCACATGTTCCAAAAGGAAGTCAGCAGGCATGCCGACATGTCGTTCACTGTTCCCAAACCCCCAGTAAGGACCAGATTGTTTCGGAGCCCGGATGGTGCAATCCCCCCAAAACAAAATTGGGGCAAAAGGACTCGAATTTCCACATGGCGTTGGATCCAGTTCGCCTGACCTTTTGGAAACTCTTGAGGGGAAGAGACTACTGGAGAACAGCCCAATTTGTGGGAGTATCATTGAGAATGCAGTGAGTCCCCCTTTTTTTCAACGGGCCACGCCCATCAGTCCCTAAACGTTTGTCTTCATTCGTCGCCTTGTGAGAGTGTGTCAGGTGATATGGTGCAACTCGCAGACGTGGAAAGCCATGGGGTTAGGATTAGTTTAGGATTCATCTTCCTGTAGCTCAACAATAGTCCGCACAACTGGATTGAAAGTGGATTGAAGAGATCCCCATGGAGAACCACAGCTGGATTTCATACGACCTCACTGCGGCTCTCCAGAAAAGACGTGAACCCTGGGGCCCGCCTGGGGTGTCTTGCCGGGCTGGCCCTTGGGCAAGTCGCACACAAAATATGGACTGACCTTCGTACTCCCTATCTGACTTCTAGTCATGGCTTCTATTCAGAAGAAGTTTCTAGTTGTGCGTCGACTAAGCAAGGGATTAATTCCCTTCTTGTGGCGGTTTCCTCTTGCCTTTGAAGAATACAACCAAAAAGCGGCGGCAAACCCCCAGTTTGAAAGCACCATCGCCGTTTGACCATGATGTTAAGACAATTTGTGGAACACCTTTCCCAGGGTCAGTGAATGCCCTTTTGGCCACTTTTTTGTTGGGTTGGCGTTTAAGAGCGGCTAAGAGCAAGCCGTAATATGACAAGTATGTCCCAACACGCATAGAAGTGCACAGACCCTTTTGGAAGACGACTCTCTTTTTGAACAAGGGGCCGCTGACCCCCGCAAAAACAAAAAACAAAACGCACACACCCACAGCTGCGCCCACCCACCGACCCACGCACGCACGACCAAACCTCCGTTCGCAGAGCACCGGCCGAGGCTTTGGAGCTGCCGGTGTTTTCGGGACCTCACGGCGCTGTAGGCGGGAGGACCCATCGACTCTTTCGAGGTGTGGCCCACGAGTGTTGATCTTTGCTAGCTTTAAAAAAGAAACATGTGCAAGAAGGGGTTTGGTCATTGCGATGTTTTCCAGAGCCATAGTATAATATCCCTAAGAGCCGCTTGAACCCTAAAAATATGAAGGCCTTTGACCCCCAACAACCACGAATAAATTTGAATAACTTCAGGTGAGGGGAACACTTGTGTGGTAATCACCCTGCTTCAGGTTAGTGAAAAGGGGACACCCACAGAAAATTCCACTGCCATGTTGGCTGTATCCCATGTGGATAGGCCTTTGGCCCCTGGATTACTACGTCTCGGTGAGCTCCGGCTCTTCATTGCGCGCCACCTTCAGCGGGGCGCTGCTGAACCGAGGCATCGAATCCGGGGGAATTTGGGCGGATTTTGGGCGGTGAGGAGGGTTTAGGGTCAGACTGAACCCTCAAACTTCCCCGTAAACTGGGTTTTAGTCCCAAAACTATGGGGTGATATCCCAGTTGTTTTATGGCTAGTTTCACTGCCAAGGTAGACTCTGAATTTTCGGGGCTTGGAGCCCTGCAAAAGTGAAAGTGGACGAACGCAGGGGTTTGACGCCCCTTGTCGCAATTGTATGATTGTTGGAAAATACATACCGCACGGTTCCACAAGGAAGCCCACCATGTATATGGGGTCCTTCATCTTGGTTTTGGGAAGACCAACTGGGAGAAGTGTATCCAACCACGTAGACATCTTCCAAATCCTTGGCTTTGGTGCATGTTGCTTGGATGTTAGGACTTTCACTTTTTGCGAACTAACGGGTTTCCGTATTCAACCGCTGAAAGTTAGTCACTTTTAGCAGGGGAGCAGAAAGCAACCGAGTTGGGTTTATGTAGTGTTGATCTAGGATTAATAAACCCGTCCCATTTTTAGGGGGGTGTTCCCTCCAAAAGTGGTCTGAATCCCCACTAAAAGGGGGCTTCTGCTTAATCCGGGGTTAACATTAGACATGTTCCAGATCCTTGGGTTTGGGTCGCCCGAGGGCTTGAGTCGACGGGTCGCAGGGCACAGCGCGTCCGTGGCCCTGCTGGCGGCCGCGGATCTTCAGAGCTTCAGCGGTGCCGTGGAGGCGCTGAAAGGCGCCCGGATGGGGGGTGGGCGGGGGAAAGGGGGGCGTTGAGGCGAAGAAGTGAGACAGGGTGCCATGGAGGATCTTCTTGCAGTGGTTATGTTTGGTTGTTGGTTTCTTTGTTTGTTTGCTTGTTTGCTCCCCAGATAGCTGAAAGCTATAGGGATTCAAACTTCTAATAAAGAGGGGAAAGTGATTTGTGAGATTGATGGGCTGGTGCTAGGGGGCGTGCGGTTTGGGGTGTTGGTGTAGGTGCTGTTTGGGGTGCTGTTCAAGATTGACGGTAGGGTGCTAGGGGGCATGCAGTTTGGGGTGCTTGTGCAGGTGCTGTTTTGGGGGGGTGACGGTGCGAGCGCATTTTTGCAGCTTGACGCTAGAAACGCACGGGGGAATGCAGTTTGGGGTGCTGCTGCTGATGGTGCTGTGGGACGCAGTTTCTAGGGAGCTGTTAGAAGTGCTGTTGACGCTGCGGGCGCATTTTTGCAATATTGACGCTCGGGTGCTATCGGGCACGCAGGTGACGGTGCAGGCGCATGTTTGCATCTTGACGGTAGGGTGCAAGGGGGCATGCAGCTTAGGTGGTGGCTGTTGGGATTCTGTTTGGGGTGCTGGTTGATTTTCGCAAGATTGACGGCTGGGAGTCTTGGGGGGTGCTGTTTGGGGTGCTCTTCGCGATTTTTGCTCGATTGACGGCCGGGTTTTGCTTGGGGCGCTCTTCGGGGGTCGTGCTTTGGGAGCTGCTGGTGTGCAAGGGCTGCTATTTGGGGTCTATGCTGGTGTATTTTGTGTTTGTTTGTTTGCTTGTTTGCTTGCTTGTTTGTTTGTTTGTTTGTTTGTTTGTTTGTTTGTTTGCCTTTTGGGGTGGTTCAATCGATTCTTGTTAGTTTTATCTCGATTGGCGTGTGTTTCTCTGGGTTTTTGTGGGGGTTGTGTGTGGCTGTTAGTTTGTGCGTGTGGGTTTTGTTTGTTTTCTAGTGGATAAATGTGGTTTTGCGGGGTTTCGAGTTTGTGATTTGATGTTGGATTTGTTGCGTTGTTTTTTGGTTTCCGCTTAATGTATGCTGAGTTCACAAGAGGCTAGAAAGATCTCGACCATGCTGTAGTATTGAAGCCTGGCGGCTTCCTAGGGTCGGAATGATCATAAACTTTGCAGTGCATATTGGAACTGACATGACAACATACGCGAGGTCTGGATTGCAGCAAACGCAGCATGTTCCTTCACAGCCACGACTGTGATTTTTGGGGAAGGCCAGGTTTGCCCGGGAGAAACTGACAAAGCAAAGGCCGCACTCCGGCCAAATCCCATGTGCGGAACCTGAATCGCGTTAGTTGCTCCCAGCCTAGGCATTGTAGAGAGTCCGAGATTCGCGTTGCATTTGCTTTCAAATCGTATTGTTTAGACTGGCAAGGCAGCCAACCATGGTCCAGTCCTTTGGTAAGGGAGCCAGCGCCCATCTTCGACAAATGAGATAGTCGAGCCCCCCAGACTTTGGCTATGAAGTTAACCCCCCCAAACCTCAAGCAACGTTCCCTTTGGCAAAGAGGCCCCATGCGGCTGACTCCACACCAGAAGACTTGGCGTGATGTTCAATCATGGCGGCAGAAGGCAAATCATGACATCCAAACCTCGACGGGTTAATGGGAAGCCAAAACACCCACCCCTCAAAGTTGTTTTGAGAACAAAGGGCACAAGAAAGAGGCAGAGCGGCCGTGCACGAAGAGACAGGGTGGCCCTGGACGATTCAACATGTTGACTGTGAGGCGCCCGAGTGACCTCACATCAAATGCCGTAAGTAAGTAATACTAAGTAGGTGGGCAGCTTCCCCTGAACCCTCTCCCCCAACAATGTACCATTTGAAGCCGCAAACAAAACAATATCATTGAATATGATTTTTCCCCTGGATTTGCAGATGGCTTATATACATTCAAAAGGAAGCCATTGAGGGGCCCATCTTGCCATCTTGCTTGTGGATGGCAATCAACAGTGAAGCCGAGCAAAGCGAGCCCATCCTGGACGAAGCCGAGCGCCAGGCCGGGAAGGCGAGTTTCTGCCGCCTGCGGCGGCCCGGGGCCTCTTCCTGCGGCCTTTGGACTTCCAGGCGAGTCGCGAGTTGCGTCCGCGTGGAGGTGTCTGCTGGCCATGGCAAATCCACGTGGCTCACCTGCCAAGATGTTTGGGGTGGGTTTTTGGCGCCACAGGGTTCAGCTGCAATGGCCAAAGGTTGAAACCACCTCTTTCAAGGTTGGATTTGTGGTGGCCTTCCCTTTGACTGATTTGCAATCCACGCGGCATGATGCGCATGATGCGCCAGCCTTGCTTTTTCTCATCAGATGTGTAGCTGCTTCTAGCACTCACCCAGAGACAAGTAGGCTTCAAGTAGGTGCTTGCCGAAGGCCAGGGAACTCACAGCCCTGGTAAATCCGCTGCCCCCATATGGCGGACACCTCTTTTTTTTGCGATCACCTCCTGATTGTTTTCAGGGTTTCAGGTTGTGAGTGTTTGAGTCAAAATCGGCTCTACCAGCATCCCCCTCAACGATAACTTTGAGTGGAACTTGCACCCCTCCCCCAAAAAAAAACACACACACACACAAAAACCAAAAACCAACAAAACAAACAAAGCAAAAAATAGCAAACCAATCTTTTGTTGGCCGGCACTTGAAGGCTTTGTTGGGCGGGCGCGTGGCACCGCCCTCGTTGGATCCGTTCAGGACGTGCACGCGCTGCCAACCTCCGGCTTCAGCGGCCTGCGCTTGGACGCTGACGTGGAGGCGGAGCTCGGGAGACTTTCGCACCGACCGAGTGTCATAGTTCATGGCCAATACTATTGACCAAAAAGCACATTTAGCTCTTGTCGATCTACAATTACAATCTGGTGTGGGTTACTCTGTGGATGAGCAAAATCCGCTTCGCACCTCACTTGGAAACCAATGGGACACCATTGTTTGTGGGTATTTACGGGGGAATCATACTTCTTCAGGGTTTGGTAGGTGGCGCGAAATGGATTTCGCAACCATCCACAGGGTGGCTAGGAACTTTAATGGGGAGGCCCCCTGAAAAGTGGTTGGTGGACATAAATCCCCACCGAAATGATGTGGTCATATCAATCAACCAACCAGTTTATTAAGACGCGTCCCCTGTTTAGTGGGGAATCAGACCACTTTTGCAGGGGACCACCCCCATTAATAAACTGAGCTTGATTGATATGGGGTCAACATTATGTGAGACTTGGTGCTGATGTTCGTGGACGTGTGTGTTAGGGGCTCAAGTTACGTCGCAGTTCTCCAAGAGTAGGAGGCTTATTGCTGATGCTGGTTGTACAAATTGGGGACGACAGGAGGAGAGGGCGCACGCGAAATTCCTTGAATTTGTCAAAGTGTTTTGGTACAAATCCTATTGTTTGTGGTTCAAGTGAGGCGAATCACCACTCGCAGAATTCGGGGATAGTGGAGCACATTCCCAGGCACAATTAGACGTTGAGTTTCTTGAAGTGACCGGCTAGGAGCAGTGCCGCTTTTCAATTTCTGTTTTAAGGCCTTGATTCCTTGCATCCTTGCTTCCCATTTGTAGAGGCCTGTTTTGCCTATTGGTTCATGTGGGCATTGTCGGACATTCAAGAGGTGTCAGGCCCTGGCTGTGCACGGGAAGGCTTTGGGTTCTGTTGTTCCATGGGTCTTTTTGGCTATGATACGGCCTCTTTTTCTCTCTTGCTTGGTTTGACCCATACCCACCCTCATGAGGGGTGGGGTTATCTCTTGAACCCTCGAATGAGTCAATCCCCCACTAAAGTGAGGCAACCCCTGACTATTCCTTCAGATCTTGGTGGCTCCCAGCCATCCAGTTTCTTAGTTTTTTAGCTTTTTAGTGTTTAGCGGTTGGATTTCCAATTTAACCCACTAACAGTTAAGCTTTTAGCAGGGGATCTGAAAACGTGCAGCCCAGAGATGGATCAGAAAGAAGCTACTTGCAGTCACATGCCTTATCCGAGGCGGCTCTTGTGGTTTGTCGATTCATCTAAGTATGGCTGCTTGACTCACCAGGCGTAACACCAGCTGATGTATGTCCTTTGATCTTTGATGGCGGTTCTTCACTTCGAGTTTGGATCTCATTTTGCCCAGCTGGATGAATGTTGCACTAGACCTTTTTTCTAGCCTTTGAAGTTGAAGGGGAGGGGCGGGGGTTTCGGTGGATTTGGCCTATTTTGTGGGTTGCTGTGTTGGTGTGTTTTTTTTGGTGGAACCCCCGAAAAAGAATTTGCTTGTCCCTGTTGTTTCCCTTGAAAACCACAAACAAGCTTTGCATCCTCTGCTTTGGAGCCCACCCGACCAAGGCTTTTCCTTTTTGTTTCCCTGAACACCACAAAACAGCGATACACCCGTTTTCTATGGGCGGCTTGGCATCCTCTGCTTTGGAGCGCGCTCACCCGAGGCGAATCTTCCGGTGCAGCTGGAGCGCAGCCTCTGCCTGCAGCCCAACACCCCGGAGTTCCAGGTGGGTTTGACCCAAGAATGCTACATGTCACTTGGTGGCTCCCAGCCATCCGGTTCCTTAGCTTTTCAGCCTAGTGTTTAGTGGGGAGTTCCATTTAACCCACTAAAAGTTAAACTTTTAGCAGGGGATCTGAGGACAGCTTAGGTCATGGCTGTGGTTGTCAAAACCGTTTTTGGGATCCCATGTTGGGGTGGGTAAATTCACCACCCATTTTAGAACCTATTTCAGTAGTTGGATTGGGACGTTCACTGGGGGTACGATTTGGATTTTGACCCATATCCACATGTCGGTACTGAGAACCCCAAAAAACTCACAACCACGGCCAGCTTAAGCAGAACACCTCGCCAGGCCGCCCTAAGCTCCAGCAGCTTGGCAGCTTGGGGCAGCGCGGTGCTGGCAGCGCCACTGGCGCAGGGTGCGGAAGTGCTGCAGCTCACGCCGGACGCTGCCGCCCAAGGCGCGGGGTGTGTGCCGGGGCTTGCGCACCGGTCGGCAAAAAAGCGCATCCGATCGAAACGTATGGCTGTGGGTCAAAAATAGGTACCCAAAATGGAATCCTGGCAAGTGGAAACATGGACTAAAACCTGCGGTCCGCTGGTGGATTTATTTTGACCCATACCCATATCGAGTGACTGCAAATATTTATTCTATCAACCATATCAATCTCAGACAGCATGGTTTGAAAGACCGCGAGAGCGGAATAACGTTGCAAGCATTGGACTCAATCGCGACTTCATGTGTTGCGAGTGCAAATTTCAATCGCGTGCTTCATAATATAATGTTAAATTCGTGGGAAGTTGAAGGATCCCCCACAACCGCCCATGCCGCCTGCAGCAAGACGGGTCAAAAGCAGATGATTTTGTCACGCTGTGGCTTTGAGCAACTACTGGGCACTTTTATCCACAAGGTCCGTGCGATGCGGGACTACGTTGGCCAAGAAGATATGCATGGCCGGCCGCCGGGTTTGAGTGATTTTTGGCCCCAGAAGTTGTGGGGGTGTTCCCCGGACAGATGCGGCCATGACGAGACTACTTGTTAATTTCGGCGGGTGCGCTGGGTAATCTGTTCACACCCGTGTTTGGGTTTTCGAGAAGCTGACAAAAGGTCCCTGACGTGCATAGTCTTCCTTCGGATTGCTTGATCGGAGAGCACTTGGGCTGGCCGATGGTCCATTCGAACTTGCTGTTGGTGCATTTGCGGATAAGAGAAGTTGGATTTTCCAAGTCGGAAAAGTACCGGATTCCAAAGCGGGCCCCAGCTTTGCCAGAGTCAAGTGTGCGGAAACCGTTCCAAGAAAGTGCCTGGCAGCTGTGCGATTGTTAAACGTGTCTGAACGAACGTGCTGCTGGTTTCCGCTCAGGTGCAACAAACTTGGCCCCATGTTATTGCTGGCTAAGCGATGTTCCAAAAGCAGTCAGCTACAGAAGCTAATTCAACAGTCCCCCTCGCAGGACTGTCCAAAAGCTGAAATAGCTAACCACACAAAGGTCAGCGGCGGTAGTGCTGAATCCATATTCAGACAGTATAAACACATGTCCAAAGCCGAACTTGCAATTGGTGTCTTCGTTGGTGATGGCTGCAACCATGATAAACGTTAAACACCCAAGCGAACCAGTAGATTGCATCTACCTTAACACCTGCCATCTATTTACATTTGCCTGGACAAAACAAACTCAACGTTGGGCTTCATTTTCGCTTTGGCATTCTGGGAATCAAGCAAAGTTTGGGAATGTTTATGGTCGAAAGACGTTGACTTATGGCAGTTGATGTAGGCTGTTGTCCAACTCGTGGCTTCGTGGTTTTGTGGATTGCAGTTGGTCGCTTCAGTTCAACCAAAATGAGCACCCACCCTCTTCTGGTAGCTGGTAGGCCTGCTGTCGGGCCTGGTAGATGCCTCTGGAGCAACTGCCATGGGCACCTTTTCGCAGATCAGGCGGGGTGAGGGCCTGTTGATGGGGCGAATGGGCCTGTCGCCTACCTGAATGCTCGGAATCGAAGGCTCCGCACCCCTCAGTGAGGTGTGAATTCTACTCAGCGCCTGAAACGCGGTTCTGGCACTTGGTGTCATATCGGGTATGGTGAGTGCCATATGAAGAAATTTACAACCATGATAGGCTTTGGACATATGGATTTATTTTCACCATAGGGATTCTTCATTCCACAACTTTTAGTACACACCAATTTGTAGGGGGAACCCTATGCTGTGTGAGGCACCTGGAAAACGAAGGACCCCGACAAGCCAAGGGACGCTTTTGCTTCTTGGAAGTCACATTTACTCTTCCAACCCCCACTCATTTTTTTGACCTTTCGTGTCAAAGGTTGAGGGTTGGGGAAGGTTGGCAAGCCAGGATCCCCAAAGAAACAGAGATGGTCAGCATCTTGTCTCCCATATGGAGAACACGCAACATGCATGAGCATGTCTTTCAGGACGCTGCGCTATTCCATATATGTTAGAAGGTATCATTTCGTGTTGGCAAGAGTCACATGTTGTTCAATCCTCGAAATGCTTCGCTACCCAAGCGCTTTGGACATCATTTCAACCACCTTCCATGCACGAACTGATGGAGAGCATCACTTGCTGCAACCTTCAAGTCTGTCTCTGTGCACTTTGGGGATGTCGGTGTCATGTGCTGTGGCTGACAGCTGAAAGCCCGGAGATCTCTGCCCGGCTCCAAGTTTCTCGGAGTGGCTCGCAAAAGGTTCCCGGGGTTGGCGTTGTGGATGCCCGGGCTTGATGTTCCCAGAGGGTCCATCTTCCAAGCAGGTATTTAGACCCCTTGTTGTTTCTTCCCCAAAAGCCATCCTCAGGAGGTATTTGAACCCTCTGGTGTTGATGATGACACTCAGTTGTTTTGGTTTTGTTGAGCCACCTGGTGTTACTTCCGCAGCTTCTTGGCTGAGAGTGGGCGGTGACCCTCGTCACCGATGGGCGGAAAGGAGGTGGAGGTGCTTTCGATCAGCGACTGGGACGGATCGTCGGGGGGGGGGAGCTCATTTTACGGGTCATTGCCGGGGATGGGAGTCCCATGTGGGTATCACAGAAAAGTGTATTGGTCATCACAGGGGGTTGGACATCATGGTCAGCTGGTCAGCTCGGTCAAAATATCAGCAGAATACGATTCAAATTTGCAGGTTTGACTGTGATTCACATGAACCCTTTTCCCTCCAGTGCGGGTTGCCTCCTTTTGTTTGGATGGGGACAACCCCTTGAAAATCAACGACCAAAGACACATGCCAGTTTCCCCAGAATCGCTGGAGGTTGGGTTCAGGGGCACCCACAAAAGTCCAAAAATACGCGGAGGGTACTGGATCCTTTTGGCCTGTTTTTAGTGAGTCTTCTTCGGGCGCTTCGGCAAGGGGAGTATTTGTATCACGTCTACACTCAGTGGTCCCATAGTACAGCTGTGCTTTGGGATGTAACATACCGTTGAATATGTATTCAAGATTATTCAAGCATAAATGGCCGCCTCAAAGTGTAGGATTCCTTTGGAGAGTGTACCAAACCCGTCCCCGGCACTCATGCAAGAAGGATAACCCTGTGAATGGCGGGGTGTTCCGCCAGAAGACGGCAAGGAGCAATGCAATCATCAAACCTATCATGGTCCATGTAATCGTTGATTTTGTAAGTGATGAAATGCGTCCAAGTATCTTTTAAGGTACTTGGACCCTTAAGGACAAATCCCTCCGTCGGGTCCGGCGGCTTGGAATGTCCAATGTCCCGCGAGGCGACGGCAGCTCCCTCCAGATTTGCCGCCTGGTGCAGTTGGACGAGGATGAGTGGCGGGACTTGAAGGACTTCTTGTCTGCCAGTCCTGGCACCGCCCCTCGATCCGCATGCGCACCGGTACCTCAAATATCTTCATGAGATTTGGTCACAATATCTAATTTGGGTCAATTTGGGAAGCTTGACATGGCTCTAGAATAGCAGGGGAGAAAGGGGGACAAACCTATTTTCCCGCAGAAACTACAGGGCCGCCAAGTTTTCGCAATGTGCTCTCGGAACAATCATTGTTGTTCTGTGCTTATGTACGAGCACAATGATTCCAGTGTATTGCACGCCACAACGAGGTGCCAGTACCTCAATGGGTTCGCTTGTTGGCTGCCGTGTTCCCTGTTTTGTTACGAGCTTTTGAACATGGAGCATCTCATCAGCGACTGAACTAGCATTTTGATGATCCAGAACGGGATCAGACTGTTGGCCTTCGCCCTGCCTTTTGAATAGAACCGGAGGGATTTTCCGGCTTTTGCCCAAGTTGTCCAAACCCGACCTTTTCGCACTGTTGAGTTTGCTAGTTGGTCCATGTGTAGTCAACGTCCCGAAAGGTTCAGTTGTTTTGTTTTTCCCGCGCAAACAAACCCCATCCAAAGCTGTCGAGCTCCTGGGTCCAACTGCACATCGCAAGCCTTGTGCTCTCCCAGATTGCGGGGGCTTCCAAACACAGTTCATTTCTTGCTTCAAGTTCATAGCCATAGGACAGCGCCTGTCTAAAACCAAAGGGCGAATTCTTGGTTACTTGGCCCCGAGCACCTGCAGGACACATGGCACCCACAACGGGTTTGTCAGGCTGCCCTTGAGGTGACAAGACCAGTTGCTACCTCGTATTCAATCATGGCTGAATGACCAAGCCATGGGGTTTTGTTCCCGTGCCTCAGAGAAGATTTGGTATCTAGGGTTTGCAACTAACCCGTAGATGTTCCAGTTGGTCGCTGCGATTGTTGCCTCCGTGCGACAAATCCATGGAGAATCCAAACTTGAGGACCCCTGGCAGGTTCGTTGGCTTGGGGTTACGAACCAGCGATGAACCCAGTCTCATCCATGGGCAAGTTTTTTGGTGAATATCTAAAGGAGCACCTTAGCAGTCGCGGACTGCTCAAGGTCCCAATTTTGTGGCCGCGCAGCCCCGAAAAAAGATTGCAAGCCCCTTGGTTTGCCCCTTTCTGGCCACCCCCCTTTCGCCGGTTTTTTTTGATGGGGCTGGGAAGGGCAAACCATGGGGCATCACTCACTTCCAGGGCTCCCAATTTTGTTTTTCTGGCCGCCCTTTTTTTGCAAAGGGTTCTTGTACTCACCTTCACGGCTCCCAATTGTTTCTTGCTAGTCGCCCCTCTTTCCGATTTTTTGGTTGGGGTGAGGGCACTTCGGAGACCGAAGACTTCTCCCTTCATGCGCCCAGGCGTGACGAGCTGACTCTTTCTGTACCCTCCATGCGCCAGACAGCTGGTCTCTACCCCCACTCGACCCCTTTCGCCACTTTTGGGTTGGCTCTGGCCACCGAGTCCTCAGGCGCACGCGCTGCAGGGCATCGCCAGCAACGCGGAGGCCCTGCAGGGCTGGCTCCAGCTGCGAGCTGCGGCGCGGGGGGGCCGGGGGGCGGGGGGGAGGGGGGGGACAGGTTTTTTAGTGGGTGCGCTTTTTTGGGTTGGTGGTGTTGTTTGTTCTTTTTCAGTTGGTGCCCTTTTAAGTTGGTTCTGGCTTTTTACTTGTTCTTGAATTGCCACAACGGAAACCAGTATTTTAGGGGTCACCCCATGATTTTCAGGCACTGTTGACCCCCTTTTGTTTGATAAACACCCAGCCGACTAGTGGGGGAGGGGGGTGTCACCCAGAAGAGTGATCCGGACTCCCACTAAACGGATACCTCCCAGTCAACCATGGGGTTGATTATTCTGGGGCTCTGAGTATCGCCTTTCCGGGAGGTTTCGTACCACTTATGTTGGCAAAGCATCCAGACCTCCAAAATTCATGGAACTGGCCTTGACCCTGGAAAGTAACTGGTCAATTCGTCCAATGGAGAAGCCTTCCATCAGCACCAACTTCCAATGGATTTCATGGCAGTGCTGAAAATGGTGCGGTTCCAATACTTGTTTGGTGTCAGAACAGGTGACGCAACAAAAAGATCCCCCAGGCCAATTCAGCAGTTTCATGGATGTCTTTCTGGGAGTCTGGGGACCCGCACCCGGCTTGCGAGGTAAGGTTGGTGAGACCATTGGAAAGTGGGACGGAGCCGCTACTTCTTTGCGAACAAAGAGGAACCTGTTGGCTGATTTGGGCGTAAGTCTGGGCTCACAGGGCTTGATTTTTGAGGTACGGTGTTCTAAACGAGCATTTTTGTCTGAGGTATTGCATGGGTGGTTTGGGGCCCTTGTCTTGATCAGCAAAGATGTCTCAACCAGAACATTTGGCTGTGTCCTTTTGACAGGCTGGGCAAATATCTGGTTTGGTCATTTAGGAAGTGAGCTTACGACACTGCAGAACTGCACAACCATATTCTGCCGAAGAACCTGCCATGTTGTTCTCAGTTGCCCTGAAGTCCCCCCCCCCCCCGCCAGGCGTCTCTATCATACCCCATGCATCCCGTTCAGAAGTTCAGAAGTGTGCTTAAATGGTTTGCCGCAGATGTCGACCACATTTGACTCAAGGCTCTCTGCCCTACCTGGAGTTGGCTGCTTTTTGGTTCGCCCGTTTGCACTGACCTCTTGGGACACGGGGTGTTTTTCCCCACTCAACACACCAGCGACGGCTGCAGCTGCTTGCCGACGTCAGGCGGAGCATTATCAGATCAAACTGGGCCGACACCCGGCAGGCAAAGTCGGGAGAGCAGCCCGATTTCAGGTAGATCCGCAAGGCATTTGTTGAGCGTGGAGCCGGATGGAACCCAGGGGTGTGTCATTGTGTGTGTGTGATTATTCTGAATAGTTAGTTGTGTTTGTGTGTTTTTGTGTATCCCTCTGTGTGTGTGTGTGCGTGTGCGAGTTGATTTGCGTCTATGATACGTATGCGTTTGTGCTCTTGTGTTTGTGCCTGTGACTGTGTGCATGCACGGCTTGTTGCCTGCGGGAATGGCTTGTGTCTACAGTGGGCAAGTATTGTCCAAGCTCAGAGGAACGTAGAATAAGTTGATTGCAATCGACTAATTCATGCTGCGCTGGTTCTCTCACCGACCTGGCTGCCTGTTGAATCTCACACAGCTGTACGACCAGAGATAAGCTGCCTGTGCACCACGCAGAACACTCCTCCTTGTTATATGTCTTGACGATGCCCGCCCGACAGACACGCGGAAGCAACGAAATGATTACAAAGGATTACAATGAGGTGGGGGGACTTCACAACTAGATTCAGTCATGATCATGAGAAGCAAATGTGTGCAAGGTGTTCAGGCCAAGTTTCATGGTCACATGCGCTCACCAGTCACATGTTTTCATGTAGGGCTCCTTGGAGTTGTCTTGCTTTCCTTGGTGTCACTGGTCTTTCGCGCCGAGGGAATGAAGCGTTGCAGCACCTCTCAGAGGCGTTGGAAGCAGACGAGGAGCTGGCTCCGGTCTTTCAGGACGTCGGATCGACATGCTGCTTGTGGTTGCCATCGTCCGGGTGGAAGGTTCTAGGGGTACCTTCCCCATTCTTTCCAGGGATCCTTCTTTGCAGGAAGCCATCAAAAACCCAGGGGAAACAGCCGGTTGTTGAACAGAACGATTGAAAAGAATGGGGAATCAACCCCTAAAGTGGTTCAACTAAGCGGACTTCCCAAATAGCGGCCCTGGAGTAGTGGTTCGGGCCCTGTTCTATGGTTGTTTGTGTTTCGGGGGGTGATGCAGGGTCTTGCCCCAAAGCCAGCTGCTTGACACTTTGGTTTGTTCCAAGGTAGGGGAACTTGCGCAATTGGTGGATTTCCTTTGCTATTTGAACTTTTTTTGTACAAACCCAAAAGGGTGCGCTGAAAGCAAGACATAACCATGCAAACCCCACTGCTGCTATGTGCATGTTTGGGCCGTTGGGCTTGCATTCACAAGGCTACGAGTCTGGACTTTTGTCGCGGAGGATTGAGGGCAGGTAGTAGTGCTGACTTGTGCTTTTCCTCGGCGTTTGAGTGCCACCTTGACATCCGCAGCTACGCGGCCAGAAGCAAGCAGAAGGAGATAGAATATTGATCAGATTGCACTTGATCATTGCAAGTAGATCTTTTACTGCCTAATGCAAGTGGGAGTGTGCCTGCCGAGCGGTAGTGGTTTTTTCGGGGAGTTCCCGGAGTCGTGCCCAGTTGCTGGATTGAAGTTGGCAGCGCAGCGACACTTCGGGCGCCGCTTGCGGCTGCTGTTCGGTGGCCGTCAGCTGTCGACGTGGTCCACCCTAGGCGAGGCGGGCGTGCGAGATGGGGACGTGGTGAGTGCGGTGGCGCAGCGGTTGGAACTGGCAGCCACCTCGGAAGCCTTTGCCGCATGGACTGTTGGCGGGGATGGGGTAGTGTCGTGGGGCTACCCGCAAGGCGGGGGAGACAGCAGGGAGGTGCAAGGGCAACTGAGGTGCGTGCAGCGGATCCAGGGGGCCCAGGAAGCCTTTGCAGCTGTCTTGGGGGATGGCTCGGTGGTATGTTGGGGTGATCCGTATCGCGGTGGTGACTGCTCGCAGGTGCAAGCGCAGCTGACCTGCGTCCAGCAAATCCAGCACAACAGGCATGCCTTTGCTGCCATTAAGCAAGATAGCTCTGTGGTGACCTGGGGGGATCCAGACTTTGGCGGCGACAGCAGCTCGGTGCAAGAGCAACTGACATGCGTAAAGCAGATTCAAGGCAGTGAGGCAGCTTTTGCTGCTCTTCTAAATGACGGCACAGTGGTAACTTGGGGCGACGAAGTGTGTGGCGGTGACAGTGGCCCTGTGCAGGGAAGACTGAAGAATGTTCAGCAAATCGCAGCAAGTCGCTTTGCCTTTGCTGCTTTGTTGGAGTCTGGTACAGTGGTAGCCTGGGGTGATGCCGAATATGGCGGAGATTGCCGCACTGTGGAAGAGCAACTCACGCAGGTCCGACAGATCTATGCGACTCACTACGCCTTCGCTGCCATCCGCGAGGACGACACCTGTGTGACGTGGGGCCATCGCAGATCAGGGGGGTACTGCCGGAAATTACCCAGAGGAGTCCAGTGGATCTGTGGCAACGAGCGCGCCTTTGCGGCCGTCAAGGATGGCCAGGTGACCACCTGGGGTCCTTCGACCCATGGAGGTGACACACATCTTCACCACGTCCGGCAGATCGCAGCGACCCAGGCGGCTTTCGCAGCCATCAAAGCGGATGGCACCGTGGTGTCTTGGGGCGACCCCGAATTTGGCGCAGATTGCAGCACCGTGCAGCAGCAATTGACTGGAGTTCAGCAGCTTAGAGCCACTGACCATGCCTTTGCTGCCGTTTTAGATGATGGCAGAGTGGTGACTTGGGGCGATGAAGAAGCGGACAGCAGCCAGATCCAGGCTCAGCTGGACTTGCTGCAATGATCAAATGTGCTTCAGCCGCATCTTTGCACAGTTGAACTCATTGGAAGATGTGCTTGTGTAGGTACTGTCCATGTACTTTTTTTTGTTAATGTCTTCGAATAATGGCTTCGACGCTTTTTATTACACCTATAGACAGGCATATTTGGCCGATGCATACATATGCGTATATATGTTCACATATATACATATACATGCATAATACATATATATATATATATCATATATATACATATATGCAACCCCCCCCCATGGACCCTGGTTTTTCTGCCTTTTGGGGATGGCAAATCTAGAATTTCCAAATTTATATTCTCGAAATTTCCAATTGTGGGTCCCCAAAGCGTGATAATTTGGAGCCCGGAGTCCTCCACAATGTCCCAGTATGATACCCTTTGCACATAAGATGTTACTTCAACTAGAATTGGAATTTTGAATATAGTTTAGTATGGATATAGTTTTCAAAAATGTGTTTATGTTCAATTACAGCTTAAACAAGCAAATCCTTTCCAAATAGCAGCTACATGAAAATGTAAATATATATTTTCGGCTAAACTCCAACTAATCTATAACACAAGAAGTTAGATGGAAGTTTTTTCCCAAATATAATCCAAGTGGTAAGTATAATCTAAGACGAACACAACTCAAGTTGCTTTTGATAATATCAAGTGAATAGAGACTACATCTCAAATATAATTCATATTAAATAGGGCTAAACATTTAACAAAATAGGATTTGTGTTGTTTACATTCTGGCCCTTTTGTAGCATAAGAAAGGTCCGACATTGAACTTGTTAGACGGTGTTCCAAAGGGAAATTTCAAGGGAAGAGAGGTTCAAAATCTAAAACTATCTCGAAACAGGGATTCTAGCTAAACCGTTGTATTTAAAGTTCTATTTGCGCAGGAAAGTTAATTCTATGTCAAAAGGTGGAGGTAGTAGATGAGCAAATGTGGACAGGTAGTTGAAGAGGGTGGGGGACGGTGTGTGAACGTACATACATATGTATATCTATATATACACATACATACACACATATATAGTACCCCCCATGATCCTGCGCCTCCTCATAAAATACTGGAACATGCAGTATTTTTGAGCGTTGCACCTGCCTTTGTTTACCTCCTGGAAAGGGGTCAACATGAGCATAGCTGACATGAAGCTCACCAAAAGCACTTGAAAGTTTGTCTAACCAATAACTTGAAAGTGTGTCCACTGGATCGCTAAGCACTTGAAAATTTGCTACTATCGGATGGAAGATTCAATATTGAAGATTACACAGAACACTTTCCTGAGAATTGTAAATCCTGGCCAAACCCAAATAGCATTAAAGTTCTTCTAACACTTGAAAGTGCTTTACCACTGGATTGGGGATCAATATTGAGGAGCCCACAAACCACCACTTTCCTGAGAATCATCCATCCTGATCAACCCCTAAAATGTTCAAGTTGTTCTATCACCTCGAACATCCGTTACCACTGGATTGAACTATTTCACGGAAAACTTTTCCGAGAATCTTATTGAACACCGAGAGAATTGGGACAACCCTGGAATTTTTAAAACTTTTTAAAAATTATGGGATTCAAGATTCAAGATTCCCAGAAAATATGTTCTCAGATTCTTGAATCTTGAATCTTGAATCCATAATTTTTAATTATTTTTAAAAATTATGGGATTCAAGATTCAAGATTCAAGATTCCCAGAAAATATTGTCTCACATTCTTGAATCTTGAATCTTGAATCCCATAATTTTTGATATTTTTTTAAAAATGTCTGAGTTGTTCTTGTATTATTGGATGCATTCAAACTCTTTCAGATTGCAGGTGCTGATGTCACTGCTTTTGTCACATCTGTATGCATGCATGCGTATCATATACATGTACGACCCTCCCCCCAATTTTGACACAAATCCAAGAAGCAAAAAGAAGCATAAAACACTGGAAAATACAGGTCAACCGCACCAAACCAGGGTCCATAGGGGGGGGGGTACCACATATATATATATATATATATATGCATATATATATATGCATATATATATATCTATACATATGCACATCTACGATACTCAAAATGATACGAGTTCCCCATAGTCAATACAACCAAATCTGCCCATCCTCTATGCATGTCTCCCAGTCTCCCTGAACAAAGCTTCAGCATCTCGCCGCAGGACATTCGTGAGAACGGCGTGCAGGCGGGGCTAGTGGTGCCAAACGCTCTTCCCAGCTGAGGGGCCATGGCAGAGACAGGTCGAGCCTCTGTTCCATAGCTGATACAACCCCATAGCCAGGGTAGAATTCGGGATCCCTTCTGGTGCTTATCACAGCTGGGAACTCCTTGGGCCGCGGTGGCAGCAAGGGCATGCGATTTCACAGGACTCGCTTGCGCTAAGAGCGGTTGAAAGTGCTCGCTGTTCTGTCTGGAAACTGAAAACTTATGCCACACAGTTGTCTTAGGCACCCAGAGGGTCATGAAGAAGGGGTTCTGGAAAAAAAAACATATGAGCCACGTGCTCAAAACCTGGGTAGATGAAGGTTAGTAAGGGACAATCCCCTTGCCATAAATAGTTGCGGATATCCGCCTTCGTATTTCCTTACATGGTTCTGGTCAACCATTGAAATACCGGGTTTTGATTGTGACTCATATCCTCAGACAAAAGTACCGCTAAGTTGCCTTCTTTGTTGTTTTGTTGGCAGCAAATTGTGTTTTCAGCTTGGTTCAACGCAAGAGTGGCACCATGGTCAGACAGGCAGTTCTGACATTTCAAGCAATTTTTCACCCTCGGAGTTCGCTCTTCACGGCTTGTGACGCAATTTAACGCCAAATTCGCGCCTTAAGCCACTCTCCGAGGGTGTTTGGACCCTTTTGGGGGAGGACAAGAGGGGACCCGCACAAACCAGATGGGGGGCCAGATTTGCTTTTGTCCTCTTGGGGAACAAATTTGTAACAAGCATACCTGCCTTTCAATCTCTGTTGCCGCGAACGACGAATTTTAAGAGCTGAGACCCGTTCGGCGCCAGGCGACACTGAAGTACTCAGATGCGGCACTAATGGTAAAGATTAGCACCTGGGCAGATTGCAGGAGATCGAACTTCCCCAAAGCCGAATATCGAATGGGGAGGTATTTGTAGTGCCCTAAGGGTCGCGATTGATTTTGGGGTCCGCAAAATGGCGTTGTTTTTCAGGGCCCTTGAGGGGTCGGGGTTCTCCATTGCAGGGTCCGGGGATCTGCATTGAAAAGGTCCTGACCCTTAGGGTGATTTCATTTCCCTCTCTGTGGATGGACGGAATCCTGCACCACTTTGAAACAATGGGAAACAATTATTTGTTGGCATTTGCAGGTTCAGGCCAAGAGGTTCTCTAAGCCGTTCGAGGGGTTTGGCATCATTGCCCCACAGCTGCGTTGAGACATCAGGATCACACCTGTCGCTGTGAAGGCACTAAAGGGGCCTCCAACCTTTCGATACAGCTATTCACAGATTATTTTCAGGAGGACTTGAGACAATGCTCGTACACAACGAAACGACTGTGGTCAAACTGGGCGAATGATAGCGGCCTGAACGGTTGTCGGTATGCGACCGAAAACTAATGGGGAATCCGTTTGCTTGGCGAAAAGCCGTACTTCTCCCAGGTCCTTTACTATGTTCCTTTCATGGCCACTGCTCCCGGCCGAGCTGTTTCTTGCTCGTTTCCGAGCTGGGCGGGTGGTCGCTCAGCCAGTTGAAACTGGGCAAGGCAAGCCTCATGCTTGACCTTGGCCGAGCTCCCTTGAAATTGAAAGAACATGAGGTTGGCCTTGAATGGGGCCAAAAACAGAAAGCACGCCATCACTTTTTGTCGATTCGTTCCTGAGGCTGCAGGGTGCTGTCCAAACGAACGTGCGTGGAATTCAATGGGTCTTCATGGCTGTGGGCAATTTTTGGGGCCTGAGGCTTGCGTGGATCACCGAGTTTGCAGATGATGGTTCCAGGTTTCACGGCATTGCGTTGATGCCTCTTAGTATACCAAGACCAAGGCAAAAAACTGCGAAGCTACCACGCGCAGTGGGAAAGTCTGCTGCAAAAGTTGGAACAGATGCCATTTCCGCTGCACGAGGCAGGAAGTGCAACGCCCGAATCCGCGCACATCCGACATGTCGGATGTGATGGGGCCAAAGTTCCTACGCGGATTCTTTCGGATTCTCATCAGGTCGGGGGTTGAAATCTTTGCGCCTTGCTTCGCTTAAAGCTTTGCCTGCTTGAGAGCCACAGCCGCTACAATTGCCTAACATACTTCACCCAGCACCGGTCGTTTCTAGAATGTGTGTCCGTCAGGTGATTGGGCCTGGGATAAATGCTGCTCAACAGCAAGCACCTTGTTGGGGGCAAGGCTTCCCTCTAACATCAAGCTGTCCGAGGCGGGTGTTTGGTTGTTCCATGAAAACTGGGCAAGCAATAGAGTGTCACTTCCGCCTGCTATTTTGAGATGATGCGTTTGTGCCGTTGGTCCCTGATTCAAGTGAATGCCGTGTCCTACAACTCTCAGGGTAGAGGCTGATATGTTCGCTGATGTAAAAGGATATGTTAGCGTGCCATTGGCTTGATATTACTGCCTCTGAGGCATATTGTGTATAGTACCATTCTGATTTGACACAGCAACAGCGAGGATAATGTTGGGAGTGGCACATGTAATGACATGCAGTAACTGTTGCCTGCTGCATTCGTACCCTGAAAATGTACGGTGTCCATTTTGTTCCATTGGAAGCAGCACCAACAAGGTACGCTCCAAAAGGGAAACGATGCCATCTCCACTTCAAACGACGGCCGCGCTTGTCCTTGTTCAAAACGGTCTCTCGCAGACCAAGTGGTTTTCTTAAGACAGGGGCTTGCACAGTTCCTCACCTACCCCATGAGCCTAGCATTTCCCAATCTAATTCATTACTGTAAAGTTTGCCAATATCCTCCGTGACTGGGAGCAGTGAACCATGAACATGTTGCTTATTGGCACCTTTGTTGATATGATAATTTGAAACGTGGCAAGACTTTAAGCCTCCCCCCTGGTTCGATAAACAAATTGACACGTTGTGGTGATTTTTCGTCCATCATTGCTTGCGAGCATGTTTTGCGGATTCGAGCAGAAATCAAGTTCGGTAGTTTTATATTCTTTCACAGGGGCGAGTTTGGGAAGAGTCATAAACCAACAAGAGCAAAACAAGTGCAAAACGAGCGCAAATCGGCGCAAAAAAAGTGCAACAAAGTGCAAACAAGCGCAAACGAGCGAACATCCCAAACACGGTACAGGAAATGGGTTCCGACGGGTGCGTGATTGCCGACAACTCGAGCGATTTTTGTTGAATCGTGCTGTTGTCACGAGCAGACATATTTCGAGCAATTAATGTATCAACGTGTTCATATAATTACATATAATATATATATATATATATATTGTTTTTATTTGAACAGTGGCACTTTCTTGTTCGCTCGATCCGGGTCGTCGCTTGGGTGCAGGTGGCCAAGGAGGGCGACGAGCGGCTCCTGTCGCAGCTGCTCCAGCGCCGGCGGGCGAAGTTGACCTCGGACATCGACGCCCAGGACGGCAAGGCGGGCCATGTGGGCCGCAGGGCATCCCCGGCCGCGGGGATCGCGGATCGCAGATCGCTGGGTGGCTTGGCTTCCTGGGGCCTCAAACTTCCGTTTCCAAACTTATGGGGTACACTTGAGTGTATTGATTGGGTTGGATCTTTGGACTCTAACTTTTTGGGAAGTCAGTGAGTTTCCCAGTGAAGCCACAAAAAGTTAAACTTTGTGCAGAGGGGTCGACAGCAACCAAGTTTTTCTTGGGGGGCTAGTTTGAGATACTTTCTCCCTGCGATAGGCAGGGAATGACAAGTTCATTGGCCTACAAACCATCCCCTATGGTCTCCTTTAAGGGAATCCCCAGGTTCATTCCCTCATTCCCTACTGAGCCGTCATGTTGTTAGGGGACCCCCCCAATTTAACATGACGTCGTTTTTCTGTTGGTTCCCTTTAGGGTTCCCAAACAAACACACACAATCATATCGAGCCTTTGTGGTAGCGGGGATTTTTCGCTTCAGGGTGACACCCTCCCCTTTTAACACGCCAGGTTATTCCGTGGTTCACAGTGGCAATATATGGGTGTGTCTCTTTCAGGGACGTACAAAATTGTGGTTTTTGATTGTGGTTTTCTGTGTAGTTTTCATTTTAAGACCACCAAAAAGCGGGGTGATCTCCCATTTGTTCATGGATAGTCTGAGGGTCCGGGTACACATTCGTCTGTGGTCCGGGTGTGGGAGAGCCTTCAGGGCATCACCGCTCTGGGCTACGCCGTGTGGGCGGGGCACTTTGGCGCCACCAAGCTCTTGATCGAGCATGGCGCCCTGGAGGTCGAAGGCTCTTTCCTACTGGATGGGGTGTTTCCCAAAAGGCTCGCATCTTTCCTACAAAAATGTTGGGGTAAAATTTTAAAAAGCACTTTTCTCACATCGGGGAGTGAGAGGTCCGATGGATTGGCAGCCCCTTCCAAGAAAACCCTGAAACCCGACCAATCATTGCGTCGTTGTTTGTTTGGGGGTACCAGACTTAAGAACAAGTTGCGAACAAGATGGAGGGGGTTGCAATACTCTACAAAGCAGAGCTGAAATACACCGCATGCACACGCACGCACACACACACACACATGTGGGGAGGGAGAAAACTATGGGACTTGGGCGCAAGCGCCATTGAATGGCTCGGGGGATGTGGACAGAAACGGCTTGACCGAGCTCTGTTGGCCCTCTACCAGCTTTGGCTTGTTGCTAGCTGGTGCTGAGAAGGACACGAGTCGCTCACAGGTTCTCAGTGCCATTCCCAAAGGCGGAGCCACATTTTTACATCCGCGATCTTGCGCAGCGTGGGATGAAGGCCCGCCTCTTTCGTATATTTGTTTTTCGGGTTTGGATTCGCGACCATGGATCACTTTGGACGGATAACGACTCCTTTGGCTTGAGGAAGTTTGACCAAACCCCCATAAGACACGAAAGGGGTAGCTGAAGGGAATGTGGCTCCCAGTTTTTCGGGTTTCCAGTTGCAACGTTTCCAGTTGCACCTCTCGACCATTGGCAGAGGGGCAAAAGTTATGGCACGGAAGAAACGCAGGGGGAGTGGGTAGCCTTCAGAAAAGCATCTCTTCACAAGCCTCTCAAAGTCTTAGAGCGTTCTCGGAATACTTGAGCAGCCTGGTTGGAGTGTCGAGTCTGTCCCATGTCTGTGGCTTCAAAGCATCACCTTGAAGACCCTCGGAAAGTGTTTTTCCTTCGGGGAACATGTTAGGGGAGATGCCAGTACTCCCGCCAAATGCATAAATTACACCAGCATAGATCCCAGATAGCAGCGCTTGCCCACCAGCACCTCCAAAAGCACCCCCCCAAAAAAACGCCCCAAGCAAAGCCCGACCGTCAATTGAGCAAACATGCGCCCGCACCATCACACTGAAGAGCACCCCAAACAGCACCACCCAAGACACCCAGCCGTCATTCTTGCAAAAATCAACCAGCACCCCAAACAGAAACCCAAACCACCACCTAAGCTGCATGCCCCCTTGCTCCCCACCGTCAAGATGCAAACATGCGCCTGCACCGTCACCTGCATGCCCGATAGCACCCGGGCGTCAATATCGCAAAAATGCGCCCGCACCGTCACCAGCACCGCAAACAGCTCGCTACAAACTGCGTCCCACAGCACCATACCCCAAACTGCATTTCCCCCTGCGTCCTACCGTCAAGATGCAAGAATGCGCGCGCACCGTCACCCCCCAAAACAGCGCCTGCACAAGCACCCCAAACTGCATGCCCCCCAGCAGTCTTAGCACCCTACCGTCAATCTTGAAAAGATGTGCACACACTGCCATTAGCACCTCAAACAGCACCCCAATCAGCACCTACACCAGCACCCCAAACCGCACGCGCCCTAGCACCAGCCCATCAATCTCGCAAATCACTTTCCCTTTTTTTTTAGAAGTTAGAACCCCTATTGTAGCTTTCAGCTATCTGGGGAATAAACCCTTCCTTTCGAGGTCCTACAAGTCAGGTGGTGTGTTCCATCTTCAAGCCCGGCAAACTCATGCTGCAACATGGGCAGTGGGAGCGATGGTTTCCCTTATCCAGAAACTGTCCAACCCGTGTCTCTACCGAGGCGCTGATCCCTATGCAGTTGCCGCCTGGTAGAAATGCCGTCAGGTCGACCCAGGTTGGAGACCATGTTCAACGGGACGGGTTTGGTGCATGCATTTCTCGAAAACCTGAACATCGCCATTGAACAATGAAGCAACCAAGCCAAAACGCGCATCCGATCCGACTCAAGCAGGGCTCCACATTCGCAGCTTCGCTCTGGAAATGGTTGATACTGGTGGCACTGTGGACAGGTGTTTGTGCCTCCCTAAGAAAGAGCTAGGAAGAACAATGCAGCCTTCAGGTCAGCTGCAAGCCTCAAGTTGTTGTTTTCCGTTCTGATTAGTTGTGCGAGACAGATGACATCCCAGATGTTTGCTCACCTGTGCTTGATCCCTCAGTTAAGATATTGTGTTTGTCTTTACAAAGTGATATCAGCTGCCCTTTTGTGACCTCGACTTTCATAAAGGTCATTGTGTCATTATGTGGGCTATGACCCCAGGAAAGTTGGCGAAGACGGCTGGGACTAAATGACAAACAAATACAATTCATGTAAACGTGCTTATGGTGTCCCGTATGTGTTTATGCCTCTCTTTTTGATTTGTGTGTGTTTTATATACATATATACAGTTATATACATATTTATATAATTTATGTCAACTTTATCTTTATCTGTTTTATCAATAGGTTCATCCTTTTACTTGCCTTTATTTTTTAGGTTTATCCTTATCTTCCTTCTTCTCCTTCTCTTCATATGTCCCTTGCTTTTGCTCTTTATCTTTGATTGTCTTGTGTGTTGTTTTTGTCTTTATCGTTCTCTTTAGAGTTATCGTTGTCTTTCGTATATTTCTCGCTTTATAACAGATTTTCTCTTTCTCTCAATATCTCTCCTTGTCTCTTTCTCTCTATCTCTCTCCTTTTCGCTTTTCTCGCTCTCTCTCTCTCTCTCTCTCTGATCACCTTTTTCGCTGTATCGTCTTTCCTTTTATCTGTATCCTTCTTTCTCGTTCTCTTTATCTTTATCTTTATCTTTTCTATTGATTGCTGGCAATAGTCAATCGTTTTGTCTACTCTTAGTTTTTTCCCCAAACAGGGTCATCAAGCCATGATTGATGCATTTGATGACTGCGGAAGCTGACGAATGCAAACAACCACAAATTATGCAACTTCCCCCCCCCCCCCCCCTCCACAGTACATCATTTCAATCGTGGTCCAAACCCGCTCCGAGCATGGTCCGAACATGGTCCGAGTCTGCTTCGCGGCCGAGGTGGTTTGCCCGATTGCCCGAGGGCCCATTTATTGAAAGACGGGGCCATTTCAACTCCGAGCATTCGCCTGAGAGCCCATTTTATGCACAGGGCCACGGTTTTTCAACTCCGGCTTTTCCCCAACTCTTGCGTTTGCATCATTTATGCACGCTTCTCACACCCAATATTGCATACGAAGTATTTTTCAGAGAAAGAAAGCGTGTTTGCACATGACACGTTTTCCCAGGATATTGTATCGTCGCATTTGTGGGGAGCACATTTTCTCTGGACTCCTTGCAGCCTGTCGAGGACAGCTGCGGGAATACCTGCGTGCATTACGCAGCGGGCTATGGCCGAAAGGATTTGCTGCCTGCGCTGGAGTTGGATGGGCGGAGCATTGTGCCGCGTAAGCGGCCGTGTTTACGTTGTTACTGATTCTTTGTGTTTACCGTGTATTTCGCACGTTTTCTTATTGTTGTTTTCTTATCATTGTGTTTTACTGTCCATGTTTTGTAGGGCTGCTATCAAACAAAGAGTTGTTTGCTTCCACTCCGTTTAGGTTGGAAAGTTACCAGACACCACCGAGTTCTTGCATGTCATTAGTCGTCTTTGGCAAGAGCTGCCGTTGATGGTCTTGGCACCTTTCTCGACCAATGGGGTCCCGACTCCCGACCCTCTCGCCCTCGGCCTGATGAAGTCCTACGCGGGATCTCTTGCTACTTATTCCATGCTAGCGTTTGCTGCAGTTGCTTTCTCAAGTTACATCCGTCACACTCTACCACTTAGTTGCTTCTACGGTGTTGTTCCATATTCACAACATGGGTAGGGGTCAAAATTCTTCCACCAGGAAAACCGCAGGTTTTAGTCCTTGTTTCCCTTTCCATGGTTCCTTTTTGGGTACCTATGTTTGACCCACACCCACATGACCAAGTGAACAGCGATCAAAGACTTATTCGGTTCAGGGTTCAGGCCTTGAGGCCTCGAGGCCACTTTGATCTTGCAGCTTCTGGCCCTTGCGCGAGCATAGAACATGCGGTTGGTACCGGGCATTGATTCAAACAAGCCAAACAAGGAACCCCTCGGATCGCATGCGCGAAAGCCGCAGAAGAAACAGCTGTGACAGATCGCTTCAGGCCTTATGACATCTTTTTGGTTTTGGTCGCAGCGTTTGTTTGGGGGGGCAGAGCCTGACCGGGTGCCGCTCCTTGCAAGGTTAGAGTACCTCCTGGAGTTTGGCTTCAGCATGCACCGCTGCAACACAGAAGGCCGCTTGACAGACTGGTTAACCTGGGCATGGGTCAACCCTGATGTATAGCTTCCTTTTTGGCCGTCCTGGTTGAAAATACATGGCCATGGTTGACATGGCTGCTTGTTGAAGAGTCCTCTCAATATTGTCTTGAGTACGTTGTCGAAAATTGTGTCGTTCACCAATCTTCAGTTCGAGGTGTAGTGAGCACTCCGCATACAGAAGTGTGAAAGTAGGCGGCACAATTCACCATTTGGGGTTCAACACTACCTGTAAAGGGCTACGCTTGCGGGTCTATGTCTAGCAGAAGCCGACCATGTGGGAGGTGAAGCGTTTGACACGGCAGCCATTTGCCTGACTCACGCTCATGTGTGTCCAGTGTCGGCGCACAGACATATCTATGTAAGTAAGCATCTTGCTGTGTACCTGTACATATATATATATATATGAGCGACTGACTTTATTTACGTTAATGGAAACATGCAAGGGGCTGGAACTATTTTTTGGGAAATGTGCATATTTAGCTGCAGAACGAGTTGGGGAACACCCCGAAAACGAGATAGGGCAAACAAGCATGATAGCATGGATTAGGATGACATTTTGGCAAGTGCAGCCTGGCAGAGCGTCTTGGGTTCAAGGTTGTTAGATGCAGTGTAGAGTAGACGACCTACGTCGCATGGTCCGTGGCAACTTACCACAGACTTTCCGGGGCAAGTGCTGGCCAACCCTGCGATGCCTAACTGCAAAAGGGTGTGAAGCAAACTTGCGAAGAAGCGGCGTAGCTGGTTTGTTCAAGCTTTGCCCCTGGGCAATTTTCAGCCGTCCAAAAGCGGGCCATGTTGAAACGAGTTCCAAAACGAGTTCAAAACGAGTTCAGAACGAGTCCCCTACAGCGTCCAAGTGAGTATTGGCCCAGTTCCTCCTCTCAAGTATTACTTTTCGACAAATTGTGTAGCAGCAGCTTGCTTAGCGAAAGGTTGTGCGGCAAGAACGAAGGAGACAAAGGAGGCGGCAAGCTAACCAAAGCTCGTTTACTTCTTTAAGCTCCTCTTCTTCAAGCTCTACAGAAAGTTGAGCCAGATAAAACGAGCGCGGTGTTGGAAAACGAGATAGGGGGCTGCGACCGAGCGCGGGGTTGGAAAACGAGTCAGGAACACCCGTCCATTATGCCATGTAACAAATAAAAGCCGTTGCTCATATATAGATATGTGTATATAGTTATATATATACATATACATGCTTGTGCGTGTGTTCTATTTTAGGCGAGGATCCAATGCTTCTCAGGTCCCAAAGAATGGAAGAGCGGAACATTCCTGTCAGCTTGAATCGATGCGTGGATTTCTTCAGCCCTTTTTGGGCGGTTCATAGCAGGAACTATGAGATCCCACCGACCAGAGCTTGGTAAACCGACTCGAGCCTTTCCGTTCTAGACTTTGATTCACCCAACTCCCAGAGGATGAGAGCTTGCATCTGCTTAGTTGGTGGAATTGGGATGGTTTGTCTTCTGTTGGCCACAGTGAATGCGTGTTGCCAAGGCGACGGCATCCCAGGTGACATGATTTAGAGAACACCACTGTACTAAAAGGTGGCCAAGACTCGTCTAAGCGGTTTTCATTCGCTGTATGTCGTGCGAACATTTCAGCGACCTCACCAGGACACGCCGCACTCAGGTTCCTTTCTCATAGGTCTCACGATAAAAAGCTCAGACGAGCGACGTCTCCTTTTGGGCTTGTGAATAGTAACTTGACCATATCCGTTGTTTAAGAAAATCGCTTTATATAGAAGCTTTGTAGCAAGTTGACCAACCTATAATTCACCCCGATGTTTCGCTCGTATACTGAGGCTTGACTCCCATGGCAGTGGCAGTGGAGAGCAAACAGGACTGAAGGGGCTGAGAAGGCAGCTATGGTCGTTCTTTTGACTGATGGGAAACGGGGTGGTGGTGTTGGGCTTCCCTCAATCTCAACCCATCACTTCGCTAAATTTGAAAACAGCTGCCAATTCAGGTGCTCCCCGGCAAGCAATTCATTGCATTCAGGGGCAAGGGAAATACAAGATCACCTACTCAAATGATTGTTGGGAGCCACTGGGAATCAGGAAAGGCCCCCAACGTGGGCTAAAGCAAGAATTGTTTCCCATGACAGATTCAAGCATGAACGCAGTCGTTTCTAGTTTGGCTTTTGATTACGTACATCGGGGACAGTGTTGTATCCGCTGAGTTGGCTTTGTGTCAGGTGAATTGGGCTCAAGCTCTCCGTTCGGGCTGACTAAACAGAGGTGTTTGACCAGGTGGCTTCCAGCGATGCGGTGTTGGTCTGAGGGGTCAGCCCGGTTTTCCCAAGCGGACCCTGCTCACATGTGTTGTTTTTCCCTTGTTGCCTTTTGGGTCGTTTAGGACTTTGCCACCGTCATATGTTTGTTTTTTCAATCCGGTGGGATGAAGCAAGTTGCTGTCCGGTGAAGACGCCCGTCATGGGACAGCCGCCAGGATCTGACCATCCAGGTGTTAGACACCTGGGGCTTGTGACGGCGATCGCCCCGGGTTATTGCCGCGCGCGAGAGAATGCACTAGCTGAATCCTCCAAATTCCCGCAAAAAGATGGGTTCTACCGTTCTACCCCCAAAATCTTGGGGTGATATCCCGTTCTTATGGGTAGTTTGAGGGTCCAGGTAGTTTCTAGAAATGTCGGTGCGAGGATCGCCCGTTCTTGGCCCAGTGTTCAGAGAGGCCATAGCAGCTGTGTGAAAGAGTCGACCCAGCGTCAACTCAGTTGAGGGAACTCCTGATCCCCCTAAGGAGACGACTTCTTTGGGCGCCCGAAATTCTGGAGTGCCTTTCCTTAGTGCCAGTGGAGCCATTTCAAGACAGCATAGTTTCTTGCAGAGTCCTTCCAAGTATCATGAAGCCAGCCAATGCGTAACTGGAATATGTGAGGCTTGTACCGGCGCGCCGGTACCATTTTCGACCTCGAGTCCCAAATTGTTTCAGACCGGCGCCGGAGAGCTGCGGAGAGCGTGGCGGCTGGGTACCATGGTGATTTTGCGGGAATTCTATACCCGCACCACACACCAAAGATCAGAACTGGTATTCCCGACAGCCCTGGAAATGCCTGGAACCCAGAACCCTTCCTGAAAGCTGCTCCGAACCACCCCAGATATGGCTTGCTGCTGTTGGGGAGAGATTACTTAGTGGTGGGAGTGTGTTTGCTATCATGCTTGGGTTGCCTTTGCAGCGGACAACACCATCGGAACGACGAAGAGCTGAATTCTGGGCAAGTTTGTGTTCATCAAGTGTTTCATATATATGTGTATTCATATTTGGTAACAAGTCAACAACCTTTGGCAGGGATGAATGTTGGGTCATGGGAAAGTTTGTTTGCAGTTCGTGAAAAGTCATCAACCCGCCAGCTGCCGGTGCTCTGCAGAGGTCCAATGTCGGGGTGTAGACGCTCCGCGGGAGAATCTGACATGCCCGAAAAAAACGGTCATCCGCCAGATGTCAAGTTGAGTCCGGACAATTGAGCCTAGCAGATTGACAGGATTGCGCAAAA